GTATCCTAGTTAGAATTCAATATGTAAATTAACAATGAAGTTACATTCTTCATTTAGACTAGTTTATAGTAGTGTACAATCAGTTTTAGGGCCAGGAAAACTCATATACATGAAATATAGGGAAAACTCACATATTGTGTTGTATCTTACTCAATTTTTGATCATTTTAATTTATTTTTTCTGGAATATGAAAGATACTTCAAAAGTATAATTTTTACAGCTTAGATCATGTAATTTGGTTAAGTATTAGTTGAGTTATAGTAGATTTTGTATTTGAGTGTACTTAGTGTGACGAAAATCACGAATTGCACGTGTGACAATATTTATGAAAACGACAGTAACTCTCCCTAGCGTGTTTCGCTTTCAACTTCACGTGCCAGCGCGACTTTGGACATGCTTCTGATCCATGGAAGCGGAAATAATATTTAATTGATGTTCCAACAAAAGGACGTGTCCCACAGCGTCAATCTGCCATGAATGCGGTGAAATACAGGATAGAAACTAGTGCATGCACACAATGCTCGGAATTTTCAACTCCGCCGACTTTCTATTCTACGGAAACATGCCATCCATTTCTCACCTTTATTTCTCTCCACTTTCTTTCCTTCCTCCGTCGACGTTATTACTGCATCTAGAACAGGTCCATGGCCTTCTTTCCGAAGCTCGTCTTCTTCAACCCGTTCAAAAAGAGGGAATGCGGAGAGGTGCTCGTTCATCCAATCATGCAAGTCCTTGACGTCCGTGATGGTATAGATAATGCCGCCAGGTCGTAGGACGTATGCATACTCTGCGAGAAGTGTAGGCGAAATGATACGTGCCTTGTGCTTTCGCGCCTTGAAATGAGGGTCGGGAAAGAGGAAGAACATCTTTGATAGTTGGCCCTTGTGCATGTAGTTAGGGAGGAATTTCATAGCATTCGCCCGAATGACCGCGACATTTTGATATGGGCCCTTCCCGATCTCTTGATGATCTGGGGAGGGTGGTGGTGGTTGAGTGTCCTCCGTCAATCGAAGGGCGGTTATTCTGTCTTCAACATATTTTGTCACTTGCACACGAATCTCCATCCCTGTTAAGGAATCAGTAGATTCATAAGTTGCGTACTCTAGAGATCATTGATTTCACCCACCAAGGATTAATGTATCAGGGAATAGCGGCGCAAGAGCGATTAATAGACCACCAAAGCCACAGCCAATGTCAGCGAACTCGGGGCGCTTTCTAGAGTCGATATATGCCGGGTATAGACTTGCAAGATCGAATGAATCCGGATCCGGTGGATACTCTAAACTATGGTCTGAGAACGGATTTGCATGGGCCCGCTGCCTGTAGAATCTTTTCTGTTGAATACGAATAGAATACTAGTTAGGACTGTCTTCGATTTACTTTGTCCTTGAGCTCACCTGTGGTAGCAGACGAACATCTTGTTGACCTTCTTGAGGCTCAGTGCGTTTCCTCTTTCCCATAACTGCAGACCTATGAAGGAATGAGTTAGTCTTCCCGCATAACGTATTTATTTGTAAATAATCGTACTGACCAAAGGATCTCCAGTCAGTCAAGTTTCGTTCAAGACAGGGTGATCGGCCGATAGACGAGTTTGGCTGATTACGTACGGTCACGTGGGCGTGGACAAGAAGTCCGAAAGTTTTTAACGAAGTAAAATGAGGCGCATTTATTTTGCATTTGATTCGAGTCACTCGACCATATCTTTTCGCGTTTTCCTGCCTACTTATAGTCTCTCGTCTCTCCTCTTTCTTCTCCATCTTCTTCTCTCTTGTTCAAAATGTGCCCTGGCTGCAGCAGCGACTCCTCTTCCTCCCCAGTTGACCGCAACGAAATGGTTGGCGTCGAAAACGGCCGCGTAGGACGACCCTCACAAGCTACCAACGGCATCAACGGTCATGTCAATGGCAATGCTAACCCTCAACAAAACGGTGCTGCTCCCAGACACACTCAACGAGCCAACCCGTATGCTCCACGCGCATCTGACTTCCTTAACAATGTGACAAACTTCAATATCATTGAGAGCACTTTAAGAGGTGAAGTTTCAATCCGTCGTCAAGTAATTCAACATGTTAACGTTTTCTTCCGTATCTCATTGCAGAGGGAGAGCAGTTCGCCAATGCATTCTTCGATACCAAGACGAAGATTGCCATTGCGAAGGCGCTCGATGCTTTCGGTGTCGAATACATTGAGCTCACCTCCCCGGCAGCATCGGAGCAGTCCCGCCTTGATTGTGAAGCGATTTGCAAGCTTGGCCTCAAAAGTAAGATATTAACACATATTCGTTGCCACATGGACGATGCCAGAATCGCCGTTGAGACCGGTATGTCGGCTTGAAATATATTTAGTGGCGAACATGTGTTGATCCCTCCATTCCAGGCGTTGATGGAGTCGATGTTGTTATTGGTACCTCTTCATTCTTGCGCGAGTTCTCGCATGGCAAGGACATGACCTACATTACCAAGACCGCAATTGAGGTCATCAACTTTGTCAAGTCCAAGGGCATTGAAGTTCGGTTCTCAACTGAGGACTCGTTCCGCTCTGATCTTGTCGACCTGCTCAGCATCTATCAAACTGTGGATAAGATCGGCGTCAACCGTGTTGGTATTGCCGATACAGTCGGATGCGCGAACCCTCGCCAGGTTTTCGATCTTGTACGTACACTCCGCGGCGTCGTAAGCTGTGATATCGAGATCCATCTCCACAATGATACGGGTATGGCTATTGCAAACGCCTATTGTGCGCTGGAAGCTGGTGCAACACACATCGACACTAGCGTTCTCGGCATTGGCGAGCGTGTTGGTATTACTCCACTTGGCGGTCTCGTTGCATGCTTGTACGCCGCAGACCCAGAATATGTCAAGTCCAAGTATAACCTGCCCATGCTCCGTGAAATTGAAAACCTTGTCGCTGAGGCTGTAGAGGTCAACGTGCCTTTCATGAACCCAATCACGTAAGTTTCTTCATTCATCGTCTGTGAATCGAATTTGTCTGACACTAGTTTTATTTAGCGGCTACTGCGCATTCACGCACAAAGCCGGTATTCACGCCAAGGCTATCTTGAACAACCCATCAACCTATGAAATCCTCAAGCCAGAGGACTTCGGTCTCACGCGCTACGTCGCGATTGGACACCGTCTAACAGGCTGGAACGCCGTCAAGTCGCGTGTCGAGCAGCTTAACCTCACGCTCACCGATGACCAGATCAAGGACGTCACAGCTAAGATCAAGGAGCTCGCAGACGTGCGTACGCAAAGTCTCGACGATGTTGACACTATTCTGCGTGTCTACCACTCCGGCATCCAGAGTGGTGAACTAATGATTGGTCAGAAGGAGGCGTTTGATCGTCTTCTTCGTGAACACCGCGCCGCCAGCATATCTCAGGAACGCTCAAGCGAACCGATTGCTGCAGCTGCGTAAAATGATCTTAGATCTATCGATTCGATTGATACAGTGTAAATTACAACTTGCTTTCTATCCTACTGACAAAGGCCTCTCGCTTGGTTGTTGTACACAAAGATAGGTTAGTGCGGCGTGTGCGTCATTGTATAATACCTCTATTTAGATCGCTGGATCTACAGTGAAATACATCTTGAATTTGGATTACTTTTTCAGACGTATAACCGATTAATGCGCAAGATTTTGCAAATCGCATCGTGACGTTTTTCACTATGTAGAGAAAGTCTCGTTTTGTACAGTACCGGTGGCCCGGGGTTTCTTTTAGGGACCTGTGCCAGGTAATATACCAGCGCTCCTGCCAGGTTATGGTGTTGCATTTTGCATAAAGGGTTCGAGCACCGATCCAGACAGCCTTTCCGTCCCTCTGTCCTGCTCCACGGGAAGTCATCCAACTAGCATCTCTTTTCCCCACTTTGCAAATAGTCCGGTGTTTTAATTCCATGAGAAGTACACACAGATACGGATCTGTTGCATAGGAGCCAATCGACTTGTGCATTTTGGATTTGGTCCTGCAAGCGAAATCCGAAATTATATTTCTCCTAACACAGATTTCGGGACACAGCAAGACTAGTGTACAAAGTGAATAAAATAAGGGAAATGAGGATGGGCTCGTGCTCTCATGTTCAAAATACTGAACTACATAGTAAAGTGCGTTTATGAGGTTACAAGCTATGAAGCAGAGCGTGACTTTCAATGTATCATACTTTTTTTGATTGTTGGTCTGAGACATGAATTAACGATTTATTGTCTGTGTACTATTTTTACCTTAGAACGTTCTCGACTATGGGCAGTTGCGTTCAGAACAACTCCAATAAACCATCGCCTCGCTTCAACTCGAACCAATACGTGATGGCTTTTGAGACATGTTAGATTTGTCTATAAATAAGGCCTGAAGCGCAAGAACAGCCCATTACTTCTTGCATCCTTACCCTCCTATCGTCACCCAGTTTCACGCGGTTTCTGAAAAACCATATCGCACAATGTACATCATCACGTCGAACGAGTTGGATGTCCTACTGCCTCTCGAGACCGGGATTCTGCCTTTCCCGCCGAAACGTGAGACCAATCGACACGCTCCCTCGGTTTGGTAAAGCCAGAGTACGGATCTGAGGATGAGGGCAAACTGGCCACTCCCCTCGTCAGTAAATCCATGCTGAGGTTTACCAACCGCATCACAGGGGCCTTCCGTCGTCGCAGCCATCAGCGCGGAGTCAAGGTCGTCTTCTCTAGCAAGATCAATAACGCGAACGATGTCATTAGCGACGACAGGTTGACGTGGTCCTCCAGTCCCGACAACTGGCGTCCTGGATTGCTGCTTCTCGAGCAGGCTGTGCGTCGTGCAGACATTGTAAGGAGACCCGCGGCATTCGAGCAAGTCTGAGGCTGCTTGCGAAGGGAGGATGCATGCATTTTCCAGAGACCGGGAAAGGTTTCCGCTCGAACTAAGCTAAGCTTCTCGGAGTTTCAATTTCTAATAGTCTTAGACGTTGTCTGACTTTACTTGCACCTAGGACCAGAAGATCTGGATTCAGCGTTGCCTGTGGTTGGTGCGGACGACATGAGGCAAGCAGCCATGTCTCTGCCTGTCGCGGTTCACTGATGTTTCTCTACAGATTTGACGCTGAGTTGAAGTCAGCTATCGTACGAAATAACGTGGCTGCCATGAAGTACGCTGAATCGGATGCATGTCATTGGATGCGAGGTGAACGACGGCGGCGGGAGATATTACCGAAGGAGGACTGGCCACTCTCCTTTGCCCGGTATCCCCCTACAGAACGACGAGGACCCCCAAGACGAAGGAGGGGAAAGAACATTGACGGAGTGGTGGACTGGCGGTCTTGGAATAGCAAGTACGTAGCTCAGAAGTGTAGACTTCTTGGCGGCAGCGAGACTGCCGGACTTGGGTGACATCAAAGGCAACAAGATTCAAGACAGCAAGGCAGCAAGACACCACGTGGTTAAAGAGTCAAGGGCATGTGTCAAGTCTGTGAGGTATGACTGTGAGGTTCATGGTCAACTTCCGGGGGGGGGGGGCATTTTTATTTTTTCTCCCGAAGTTGTAAGATTAAGTAAGAATATAGATTGTAAGGCATCTGGCGCGTGCGTGAGACTTGAGCTGTAAAAAGTGAGATTAAATAAGAGCCTAAGTCGTAAGATAATCATTAATCAAGAGCCCGGGTTGTAAGAAAGTGCGATTAAGTAAAGACCTGAGTCGTAAGAAAGTTGTGAGTGTCTGAATTGCAAGACGTAAGATTAAGCACTAACCTGAGCCGTAAGACGATTGCAAGCTGAGAGTCAGAGCAGTAAGAAACGAGATTAAGCAAGAGCCTGAGTCATAAGAAAGTTGTAAGTGCGCGTAAGAGTTGTAAGAGGTAAGATTAATTAAGAGCCTGAGATGTAAGACAGTCGTAAGCTGAGAACCCGAGCTGCAAGAAGTGAGAGCCAGGATTGAGTAAGAGCTGTGAACCAGTAAAATCAAGCTAAGATCAAGTAAAAGCATAAGTTGTAAGGAGTGCAAGTTTGACATAATCAGAAACTACTTAAGAGCAACGCTGAGCAAAAGGATAAAGAGGCCATGAATGCTGGTTGTAAGAGAAATGTGTCGAGAATATGATCGAGGGTTACACGCCAGGCCGGCTTGTGCCGAAACCTCCAAGATTTTCGTTCCGCTTTGTGTTTTCTCAACCTCAGCCTTGCCTCTTGACGTGTTCGTCTGCACTCCGTTGTCCGTGCGCCGTCCTGACTTCCTGACTGGTCGTTTGTTCTTTGCATTCGGCTTCAGACTTTCGCAATGTCTTCATCCGATGGCGCCATGGAAGCAACGTCGATTTCCGTAATAGATCGTGTACAGTCAATCGTTTCTGAACACAGGCAGGCTTTGCTTCTCGGAGCAGTTCTTCGATCTACACTTTGCTTTTCAGCAATCCCAGTCATTTTTGTGTTCCTACATCGTTCTGGTCACTTTCATATTTTGTGTGGAGTATCCAAAGCAAACGTCTAAATCATCTGAATTCGGCTATCTCTGAAGATATTAAGAACAAGCTTGTCACGATTCGTACTTTCGCAGTGCAGCGCTTCGCTAGTTGCAATCGGTGAGGGCCAGTCATTCAAGACCTCCGTGCGTTGTTACAATCCATTCAATTTTAGCTAAAGAGTCCAATGTCCTAATCCTACATAAAGCATATAGGAAATCAATGAGAAGTATCGATGGGCGAGTCCAATTTCCTCAATAGTCCATGCATCATGCTTTTTTAACTCGTGCCGCATCTTTCCTATCCGATGATGCTCCCTCACTACGGGCAAAGGCCTAAGATTGCATCCTGGCACTCCTTGGTTGGGCTACCGAAACGCCCCGAATCAGGCAGGCCGCCAGCCTCTGTCAAAGGAGACACAGGGACCGTGCTGGCACTCGTTGTGGTACTCGTTGTTAGTTCTTGCCGACGTGTGAGTTTGGGCATATTGGACATGAAGTACTACAGAATTGTCAGTTTCAGCCGTGGAGATAGAGACAAGTTGTGAGTACTTACTAGTGGCGAAGCAACGGCTGCATGGAAGAAAGCGGCAAGCACGACGAAGCGAAGATTAACCATATTTCACTGGATCCTTCCTGTCAGTATCGTCCGCCGAAATCTTCGAAGTACTGGCAGGCTTACGCTGGATGAATAGATTTGGAATAGTAAGGAGAGACTCGAAGGAAGGTCAAGAATACGCAACCGGGCGCTTATTTTCGAAACCAAGTTTGGATGGGTATCTTTCACGCTTGAACCGGCCGCTTATAAAGTGAATCGCTATTCACCTGTGTCTGCGTTGGAGTACCGGAACTTCATTTCTCCTTGCAACTGAGACGCAATCTTTATTGATCATCTTGAACAGTCAGAAAGCCAATGCATCATCCGATGGCTTTCGCTATGCGACCCATATCTTAAGCAGTTGATGAGTCTCGGATTCGCTTGCTGATCTGATGTTATCTTTCTGTAGTGACGGACGCTCTCCGTGGTATCGCGTCGCAAAGATCAGCCTATAAACCGAGGACTATGAGGCAGTGATGATTGTTGCTTATTCGCGTTTCGGAAATCGCCGGTGTCCATGATGATGGGCGAGACTCTGAGATCCTCAACTGCATAAGTATTTAAATGCCAGTCCTCATCAGGATTTCCAGAAGAACATTTACTCCCTGATCATCGTTTAATTTGCCTCGCGTTAGTCCTTGTTCATCGCTTTGGTTTCTATGTTTGGTCTGCAGAACTTCAAGCTTGTATCTAGCGAACAGCCAAGACACTTTCGAAGGTCCTCTATGATACTACATATGGCTCCCAGTGATCTTCTACTCTAGGAACCATCCACTGTGATATAATCTTTCGTTGTCATCTTTTTCCGAAGCAATAATATGCGCATCTACAATTTTTCGTTACAATCGCTATCTTAAACTGCTAGCAAATGAATGAACAAAGTAACTTGCTGTACTGTACTGACTAGTGCCGGCAACCTAATATGTTTTTGCATTCTGAATGACTATTATCCCTATGAAAAGCAAACAATTCCTCCGAATCGTTGGCAACACTCCCAACTACGTTACCCACAGTGCTTCCGATGCTATCAAGAAGACCGCCGCTCTCGTTTCCCCCAGTGCTTGTTCCTTCATTGCTGTTGTTTGCAATTTGAGGGCTAGCCGAATGTGTGGGCACAGTGTGCACTGCTGATGTGCTTAATGTGGTGGTAGGTTTAATGATTGTTCCAGAAGATTGCTGGACGTGCGCATCAGTTAATGTCAAGTTTCAGTTAATTAGCTATTATAAAGACGCATACGTACTATAGGAGCACACTTTGCACCAAGGAACAGGATAGCGGCGGATAAAGCGGCAAGGCGAGTCTTAAACATTGTGACTACATAATTCTCAGTTTAATCTTCCCTAGTGCTGCGAGTGACTCACCACAGGAATGTAGAGTACGCAAGTGTGTGGAGTTGTACAAAGTCGATATTGCAAGCCAGTGCAAAATATTCGTGTGAGAAATCAAAGAAAGAAAGGAGTGTGCTGAAAAGAACGTTATTGAGCTTGCAAATGGAACCAGACGGTGGAGTCAGACTAGGCGCTTGTGGGTATCTCAGTAATTATTCACACTTTTATAACACTCTAGCAGTGCATATATCTTAGATATCAGCAGTATATCATGCTTCTATACTATGGCTTCAACTGGATGTGATAGATGGTGTTGATGCTAGATACCATTATCAGCATCATGATCTTCCAGGTTACTTCAAATGATACATGAATTCATTCCCTTTACATCAGATATGGTCATTGTTGTATAGTTCGCTTACCAAGCCTTGCTTGAATATTGATCCTATCGTCAGTTAGTCGAACATCAAGTTGCTGATGAAGTAACGGCAGTTGGCATTACTAGTAGTTTGACAGTGATCAGCTTTCACGAGCATCATGTCAGGCACGTATAGCCAACTTGCAGTTGAGTTTCGTCAAGAGGCACCGAATCATGATCCATTACTTCGTGAATGGTGACCACTGTGTGATCCGCTTGATTTGGGAGTTACAAGTCTCTTTCTCGATGAGAAGGATCAGCTTAGATTCAGCTATAAACCGAGGTCCATGAGACAGTGATGATTAATGTTGTAGCTTGTTTGCATAAGACTAGTTCCTAAGCTAGTAAGCCGCATACTCAAACACCAATCCTTATCAGGATCATTAGCAGAAGTATTTATTTACCCCCTGACCATTGTTTGGTTTGCTCTGCATTGCTTTTCTGTAGAGCTTTGAGTTCTACGTCTGGTATGCAGATTTAAGGTCGCACTCAGCGAACAGCCAAACATGCTCTTTACAACCTTTTTTGTATCACGGGAGATAGCTTCTGGTGGCCTGATTCTCTTCAAAATTTTCTTTGTCGGAGAAGCTCTACTTGACCGACAATTTCAATTTCAACTTCGCAGTATTTTTCCAAAATCATCCTTGCAGAATGCTGGTAGAGAAAACGCATTTATCAATATATGCATCACTTTAAACTACACCAGCAGGTTAAGCTAGCTACTGCAGAGTATTTAAAACACTACACAGTCTTTGGATTTCTCACACTCTATGCGTGGAGGGGCCCTGTCGCCACCGACAAATAATTCCTCTGGATCATTGATAACACTTCCAACTGGAGTACCAACAGCGCTTTCAACCTCACCAAGAAGATCACTACCGTTGTCCGCATTTTGGTCATTGCCATCAGCAAGTTTTGGACTTGCCGAATGAATAGGTAACGAATACACTGCTGATACGCCCGTCGTTATACTAGTAGCAGGTTTAATGCTAGTTTCGGAAGGCTGCTGCTTGCGTGTCAGGGCTGACGGTCAGCAACAAATTTTCCATCTATTTGCCACAATAGAGATGCATACGCACAACTGGGTCGCACTGGGCACAAAGAAAGAGAAGGCCAATGGATAGAACGAGTAACGGATTTTTGACCATTGTAACTAGATGCTCCTCAGCTTAATGTTCCCGAGTATCATGCATAACTCACCACAGCTATATATTTGTGCAGAATCAATATTGCGAACTGGAACAAGTAGATTGTTTGAAGGAAGAAAAAAAGTGAACTGATGTGAAAGTGGTCTGGCCTGCAGAAAAAAAACCCGACGCTCAAGTCAAGGTGGGCTGCTTGTGGGCTTTTGGATGAATGATCGTTAGGCTTTTTATATCAAAACTCTGGTGGAACACAGGATATATCAAAGTATTAATTCATCAGGCATCTGAGCTGCGTGCGCACAGTGGCCGTTCCGAGTTGACTCTAAACACCATTGCCAGCATCGTTAGAGATTCATGACCTTCCAATCAGCTTGTATTGTTCCGGAAGTCCAATCGTACCTCAGCTATGCGAGACTGCATCCGTTCCACGCAGCCACTGATATTGAATCCTTTTGTATTTGACGACTGACGGACAGGAACACTGTTGCCTGTCTCATAAAGCGTTTACTAATACTTGGTGAATACAGGCGTCTCCCACTGTTGGCGACCCGATTCAACATGTTTTATACAGTAACAAATAAAATCATTTGTATCGTTTATGTCCAGCGTCCATTATAGAGAAGGAGTCGGATACAATAAATTTTGTTCAAATTGACCTAGGCTCTCAATCCGGACAAGCTGCTCAACTGCGCTGACTTTGTCCAGCCTGCAGAATCCGGAATCCAGATATGAGCTCGATCTGTCCTATAGTATATCGGTATAAATCAAGGATTGACTCGATTTACTCACAAATACCCTGGTACCTCTCCTGACATCTGCATCACGAAGAGTGAAGGAACGTTACTGTGCACTGACAAATAAGTAAAAGTTTTGTGAGTGAATTGGGTAATGCTCTCAATTACGTAATCATGCCTCGTAGAATCGATCACGTGCAGTATTTCAGACTAACGATTAAGTCGTGGGCTCATAGTCAAAGAATCATACTTGCTACAAGCGAAACCTGCGGCAACACATAGACCTGCTCAAACGCAATCGCTATCGCGAAGGCGAAGACTCTCTTCTTCGTGAGTGATGACACGTTTGGAGGATGAATCAAAACTGAAAATGGACTGCTGTACGTAGTGGCTGTACTACTAATTGCGTGTTTACGTTTGTAGGTCGACGAAAATACGCGTGGTTTGCTGTTAACGGGGATCAAAATAGCTTCTCGTTTTGCTCTCAGGGACTATCTTCTCGTTATTTAGTCGCATTAGGGCGACCAAACTAAGGAGAAAGGAATCAAAACACGACCAACGTCTTACACCTATCAACTCTGCATGCTGTATTCAAGTCTTGCCTCGAGGCACACGTTGCATTTATCTTCAGTTGGCTTACGCGCCGACACACATAATTAATTACTCAGAACGTCCAAAGGGGGAGTACGTTAGTTGGGATGTCGCGCTCTGTGGCCAGAACTGTTAATGTGGCGGCAGCACAACATGAGGAGGAAGGAGACTTGACGCGGACGGATACGAAGGGATCGAGTCGGGCACGCACTGGTACGTCTTAGTCATATGTGTTGGTTACATATCTTGTTAAGTAGGTTGAATACTAGGACAACAGACGGTCTTTTCTCGATTGCAGTCGCTATTTCCGAACTCCACTCAAGTCCCAAGAACACCCACTTCAGATGCTCGTGTTTCGGTAGAACCGAGCAAGGCGCTAGGCAACTCTACAAAACCTCCTCCACGTTTTCTCAAAGTTCATATCGTGACATGGAATATGCACGACGCTTTACCGACGGTAAGCGTGCTCAGAAACATTGAGCAGAAACATGCCGAACTCTATTTGTAGGGGAATCTGGAAGATCTTCTAGGCGCTGTACCTCAATACATTCCGTGTCCAGATGATAAACCTGACAAGCTCCGCATACCGAACATATCAGAGGAAGACTGCCACCCATATCATCTCGTTGTTGTGTACGTACATCTTGAGATTTTCACACACGGACAATGTTGCTCAGTAATGTTTGGCAGAGCTGGTCAAGAATGTCCAACGGTGTCAGGTAAGAAGGAATTTATATTATAATCGATTAGTACTCATATCCTTTCAGGCATTCCCAAGGGAATCGGAGCTAGCTTTCGACATAAAGATAAGGATAAACACAAAGATGGTGAGAAAGGTGCGAAGAAGATAAAGGGGAAAGACGGGAAAGAAAAGGATGATGCAATGGAACCTGACTGCCCTCCGGCGAGCAATCAGCCTCCCACGTCAAATGGAGATGCGCCCTCGGCGAGCGCCTCCCACAGCGCAACCTCAGGTTGGAGCTGGATTCTGGAGGAATGGTACTGCCATGGTCTTGGTCAACTAGACGGCATTGCAGGGACTTCTACTGCGTCGGAACTGTATGATTCACAGGCCGCTGGTGCAGCTGCATTCAGTGGCACTGGCGGAATATCCCAAGCTTCCGCTGACATGAATGCCCTGGTCGAATGCGATGAGGATTACAAAGCGAAGAAGGATCGGAAAAAGAAAGACGTCGAAAAGAAGCACAAAAATTGTTGCTTAAAAGATAAAGGAAAAATTGGGCCATACGAGCTTCTAGTCAAAGAGAGACTGATGGGGATTTACATGGCCATTTTTATCTACCGCGATTTGAAGCCGCTTGTTCGAGGTAAATGACAGCTCAACAGGTCATCTGCTCGACATCTGTTAATTGACGACTAGGTATCTCCAAGTCATCTGTCTCAACGGGACTCATTGGTGGTCGTGTCGGAAATAAGGGCGGCGTTGGAATCAGCGTCAATCTCGATGGAACAACGTTACTTTTCATTAACGCTCATCTCGCAGGTAAGGCGAGAAAAAATTGCATTGTACTGTCAATCACTGACTTCCATAACAGCCCACGAGGATCGTGTGATGAACCGCTTATCAAACTTCAACAAAATCAAGGTTCTTCTCATTTTACTGGGTTGTTGAACATGTTACTTACGACATACACAGTCGGAGTTGCAAGTGAACGATTTTCTTTCGCAGGACGATCCACGTGTCATGTCAGAGGGTACGTACGACTTTATTTAAAATCGATGACAGACTCAGATGCTTCTACAGACTTAATCGATAAGTTCGATTACACATTCGTCTTTGGTGACCTTAATTTCCGTCTGGATGTGACGAGATTACACGCAGATTGGTTAATATCTCGTCAAGGTAGTTTAGACATTGATCGAGAAAAGTTACATTCTAACGTCAATATTCAGACTATGATCAAGCTCTCAGCTTTGACCAACTGCGGGGGGTGATGAGAAGGGGCGAAGCATTTGTTGGGTTCAATGAAGCCCCCATCCGCTTTCCACCTACGTTCAAGTACGACGTCATGAAGACGCTGAAGCGAGACAAATCTAATGCTACTCAAGACACTGGGAAGAGTCGCGGGAACAAGCGCTGGGTAGGCCATCGCTCCAATCAGAACTTATCAGAAGTTCGGGAGACAGACAATGAATTATCTGTTCCTCTTACTGATGGACATGACCGCGGAGGATCATTAGACGCGGAAGATGACAATGGCTCATTCGTCTCTACTGCGCTGACAGGGATGTCCATGCAGACACGCACAACGGCAAATGGAGAATCCGATGACAACGATGGATTCTATGTGCGCGCAAAGAGTCCAGGTTTCTCGACTAAAAGCAAGGACGAAGAAGCACTTTTTGTCGCGAATAACGCGGCACATAAACTATTTTTGGCAAAGGCTGCTATGAAAGCGAAAGAAAAATGGCTGTCAATGCTGAAGTCTCGTTCCCCGGTGTCTCGAAACCCATCGCAAAGGTCACAACATAGCTTCTCTGCGTCATTGCCACAGCTAAAACCCCGTGCAACGAGCTCGGCAAGCGCATCTTCCGCATTCAGAGGAGCGGCATCAGCTCTTGAACTGGGCCGACCGAGTGCACCTAGCGTCAATGAGTTGCGTAGGACCCCTTCGAAAAAAAGTGTGAGATCGACCAAAAGCGGGAAGATTCTCGCATCTGCATCTGCAAAAGGGTCTGAGGACACCAAACAGGAATCGGACGTTGGTGTGTATGACTCTTCAAGCAAGCAACGCGTCCCGAGTTGGTGAGTGTCTCCGACCATGCACTTATATTTCTGCTCACTTATGCATTGAATACGACGAAGGTGTGACCGAATTTTGTGGAAGACTACTATTCAGCCGGAACCCGACTCGGAAGATGAAAACGAACCGGATCTTACAGGTCACCATATGAGCCTTGGACCGCGAATGCTGGCTTTCCTGACCAACGCCTTGCGACCACTGTCAACGCGTACTCGTACTGCTTCACTTTCTTCCATTCCCATAGCCGATTTGCCTTCGCCCATCCCGGCGACGGCACCTTCACGACCTGCTACGTCCAGATCAGATTCACAGCCTCTTACATGTCAAAGCCCGGAAGAATCTGAGGAAAATCCTGGACCATTCAAACCCAGATCACTTGCTAACATCATTGGCACACGCGGCCGCTTCCAGCGAAAGGCACGGCACCCTAAATTACTAAAGTCCCGGTCAATCGAGCCGGTTTCGACGACGCCACTCATGCCTTCGAGTATGCGTAAACGTAGAAGTCGGGCGTACACTGCAATGCCAGTAATCTCCGCACCAGTAGTGACACTCCCAGAGGACACCACACCCATCGCTGAGATGGAGACTCCCGAAACTTCCCGTCCGGCACCATCGAAGGACTCGGTAGGGAGGCAACGTACCACGTCCTCACGAGGATGGTTACGCCTTCCGTTTTTCAACAGGGAAGCTGATCATGAGCCGTTGGTCTCCGATGAGAATTTTGACCCAGGCCATCCTCGTGAATCAATAGGAGCGAGGCCACGCCGACATCGTCGGGGTGAAGTCGTCGCCCTTGGCTACAACTCATTAGACGACCAGGCTATGCGCAGATTGGAAGGACGGAGCGATCATCGGCCAGTGATCGGTTCATATGCCATCTACATCTGATTCGCATATCCTCGTTCATCACGAACAATGATTTATTGACGGTAACTTATAAGCAAGCTCGCTCTCTGAGTTCTCATAATTATATCGTACAGACGCCATACATAGATGGATACCTAACGGACAACGGAACTGCCTCTTGTAGAAGCTATACCACTCATCTTATACCATCATTATCCTGTACCTGATACATACCCACAGTAAATAAAGTTGTTTCTAGTAGCCTCCTTAGGCACTCTCTTTTTCAGGGGAAACCTTCTCTTCTGGCTGTCCTTTGGCCTTTCTCCAGAACACCCACGTATCAAGAACGTCCTGGGGATGCTGATGTTAGAATCTCTCCGATCTGATGGGTCGACGGGTTTCTTGCTTACCTTCTCTGTTGCAAAGACAAGGAACGCGACAAGCGGGACTATAACCAGACATCAGTCAAGGTGTATTTTCTCTCTAATACTGTCAACTCACTTGCGGCCTGGAAATAATCAATCACGCCGTTGAACAAGTTGTTCCGCGAAATGCCCACAAGCAAGATTTCATCCGGATGAACGATGATTGCTACGTTCAAACTAGCACAATAGTGTGTCAGAATCTGCCTAGCACGCTTCAGTAAATCTACAAAATACCTGAGTGCTGCGATACGGTAGACGCTAAATAGGACTACGCGCAAGAAAAGGGTAGACCAATGTCCTGTCCTTTTCCTCAAAAACTCGCGCTTCCTATAGACATTTGTCGCTATAAGAACTAGAAACGTGTGAAATTGAATTCTTTAGGTTTAGAGCTGAGGTAAGAAACTTTCGTACCTTCAAAGCCGACTGTAATGAGCGATATGAGGCATGTGAAAGTGAGGACTGCTCGCAGGCTGACAAACACAAAGGGCGGTCAGCCTGATTATTTTAAAAGAGTGAATTTTCCAATCTTACATCTTCAATCCCGGGGCCAATGAATGCGTGAAATCCGCGTTCTGCAAGATGATGCAGTAAAAAACACTAGGTATCGAGAGATTTGATCCAGGAATCGGCTGGCCGGTGTTACTGTTATATGCCACTTTGCTTCCGGCCTTCGAAGTATCAGAGTTGGTCTAGAGTTTTACTCCAGTATTTCCGTTACTCACCACGACTGAGTACACAGTGAACGTGACAAAGACCGCAAATGGGAACCCAAGGAGCTGCAACAGCGAGCATCGCATTAATAATTGTTTCTGCTGAATCCGCTCATAATCACAATCAGAGCGTACTCACCGCGCATGTGTACAACAGGTCCTTGCGGCTTTTCGTCCAGAAACCGCTTTTCACGGGTCCCTGTTTAGAACTCGTAAATGATCGGAGCAGCGACCACAGCTAGTTCAACGTTAATTGATATACCTGAATAAGATGGTAAATCAAACAAAACTGACATATATCACGAGGGCCAAGTTTGTGCAGGCTGTCCTATTATTAAACTGAGAATAAATAAATCACTGTGGTCGTTTGAATATACACTTACAAAGCCTGCACACCGTTTAGCAGCGCAGCTTGGATGAGACAAGGATCATACGATGGGTTCAAAGAGAGTAAGTCATCTGTACTTCGCCCTCGGTACACACTAAGGAAAGTTTCAGATAATTCCTTTGTGGCGAAGAAAATGGACTCGCAGCAAAGAATACAGCACAGAGGAGAAAATCCATGATATGCAAAAATTCACGAAGACTGGATGGCGGGACACTTTCCGAGAGAACAGAATTGTGAGGACCAGGATAGGGAGAAGAATATGTCCTCCAGCTATCTGAATGCCGAGATAGATCTTCTCGTCGACCTGCTGAACTGTTCGAGAAATGTCAGGGCGCGTACAGGTCGAGAAAGGCAAACAGCTTACCGTGCTGCAGGTGATCTACCAGCGCCTGCGATGGGCCGTCACCGTCAGAGGAGGACATAGTATATGCAGTCTACCGCCAGCAGCAAGGAGATAGTATAAAAGAGCGTCTCAGTCAAAAGAAGGAAGACGGGAGCCAGCTCAGCACCAGCGCTGAGGCGAGTAGAGTGATTGAGGAGAAAATGTTGGTGAGTCGGACGGCCGGCGATGAGAACCCTTCAATCGTATTCGTCCGGCGCCTTATGAGACACAGTGTCGTGTTCTGAAGCAAGATCATGATCTGCGTTGAGATACCGACGACAGTGTTGCTATCAGTTGGCCGTTGAAGGCGAAAAGATATCAACTACATCATCAGTGGCTGCGTTGAATGGATGCAGCCTCTGATTCGCTCTGTCGAGTCTGCCCTGAATGAATGGAGGTGTACTATTTGAATTGAACAAACTGTTTCTCCGTTATAATCCATGAAGATGGTGAGAGTTGATGTTCAAGTAACAAGCAACCATCAATTAGTGGATAAGGAAATCGCGGCCAAATTGATACAACTCGGACCCACATTAGGCACCTTTTCCGAAGGCTATACTTCTATTTTTATTTTTGAGTCACAGAAATATGCACGAAGAATATACATATATGATAGGAGAGCGGGGCAATGGTATAGCCTCCTCGAAAATTTTGGAAGGTCTCAAGCAAATAGGAAGCTCTGGAAGAATCAACACTCCAAGTGGTTCTTGACTTGATCAGCACCATGATGGGCGGGACCGAACATCACTGTAGCGAGTCGACGTGATGCTACCAAAGCAACACCAGGCGCAGCCATGAGACCACATACACACAACTAAACCAACCCAAAAACTCGGAACCAATACAAACGAGTGCTTAAGGGAGTAAGTGATGTGTTAAGATACAAATGCACGCCGACGGCTCACATGAGCACTGGAAACCAGTATCCAAAGCTAAAAGAATACTGATAAATGCTGCGCAGTCCAAGATATATTGAAACAAATGAATAGGCACAGTGCATAAGTGGGAAGTTTGGCAGTGCCATAAGCCAATTGGCCAGCCCTTCTCCGTATAAAAATGAGGCGAACAGCGGGTCCATATCACATCAGCACATCGTTCGCACTCACTTTTCGCTCCCCAAGTCTTGCGCTGGTCCGCATAATCATTCGCGCAGGCGTCAACTTTCCTTCATCACGCATAAATCGTAGGTAACTCCGAAATCATTGTTCGGCAGATCCTTTACCATACTCTCCCAAAGACGATGATGCTTCCAACCGGTTTTCTCGTATTGTCACTATTATTCATTTCCCAAGGAACACTCGCCGCTCCTCTGGTGAGCCACACAATGACTAAGTACCTTCACATAGACTTACCTGTAGAGCAAGGCGGAACGTTCAGATAACTTAAATTCTCTCGCACGCTCCGCACCGTCATTGAGTGACGAGTCGACAAAGGTCCTTACGATTGCACGCCGAGACGGGAATGAAAACCAATCAAATTCCGGAAAGAATGGTAAAGGCGGGCTTCTAGGAGGAATTGGGTCTGCGATAGAAGATTTTGCCGGAGGCCGGATGGGAGGCGGATGTGGGGGTGAATGCGGGTATATGAAGGGTGGGAACTAGTTAGCCATTCGCATCGGAAAGGTGATGCAGGTCATCGCATGTAACATTATGTATCATATATTTCACTTTTACTCGGGGTAGAAGCCAATACCGGAGAAAACGCACAATCATCAGAAACGTTAAAAATACGACCTTGAATTGTATTGAAACGCATGACAATACATTGTGATGTAAACTTCAATACCACTTAAGCAGAGATGGTGACTTCCACCTCGACACCAGGCTCAAGCGAAATCGAGGTCTGAATATGATAGTAAGGTTATGATTAAAAGCAAGTCAATGAATCAACGTACAATCTGCTTGACGATCTCGCTTGAAGAGACAAGGTCGATCAGCCTCTTGTGGATTCTAAGTTCAAAGGTATCCCAGGTCTTAGATCCCTCACCACAAGGCTATAATATCGTCCTGTGTGTTAAAATCGAAGACAGGGCAGAGTAACCTTGGAAGTGCACTTACAGACTTGCGGGTGGTGATCTTAAGAGACTTGGTAGGAAGACGGACTGGACCTCTGACACGAAGCTGTTTGTCCTTAGCCCTGTTGATCAAGTCCCTGCTGACTGTTCTCATAATCATCAACATCGAGGCACTGAGTTAACTCCATTCTGGTGCTTACACTTTTCCAAGCTTGCCACATTGCTGCTTGAGAGCGTGATGCGGATTTTGTGAATTTTAGCGGGAGGGATGGCACCCGCGGCATCGTATTCCTTTTCGCCCTTAGCGACGTAACTCATCCTTGCTAGTTTGTCCGAGGATAGTCAGCGGTGACTTCAATGCGAATTATCAGAATAAATCTTTGCAAGATTTACGACCGATGTTAGACGCACCTAGGGCTCTTGGTGATGGTGTATGAATGAAAATTAGAGTTTAGAATTCTTGCTCTTTTGGGTCGCTGCGCACAGACCATCGGATATTGCCGTGATTATGTCATCCATTGCTTTGCTAACGCACTCGCCTACAACTCATTTCATCCATAGCTGATTCCATACTCTACCACTAGTCATGCAGGGTGCGTGACAAGTTATAGAACTTTACTAGTATTTCTAATCTTTAAATTACAGGATTCAATAAGTACTACCCGCCCGACTATGACCCGAGCAAACACACCAGCTTGAACGCGTACAGAGGTGAGTACATGTTGCGTAATGATCGAATGAACCAGGAGGTTAACACATTGTTCAGGGAAACATGCTCTTGGAGACAGAGCTCGCAAACTTGACAAGGGAATCCTCATAACTCGTTTTGAGCTACCTTTCAACATCTGGTGGTACGTGCCACCAGTCACTCCTATTAGCACATCCACTTATTTGCTTGTTCCACGTAAACGCTACGTCCTTGGCTCGAAGTAATGGCTGCAACAACCACATTGGCATGGGCGTTCGGTACAATGCAGAGAAAAAGAAAATAGGCAACTACTACTCAACACCGATATTCTCATTCCGGTGCAAATGCCATCTCTGTGTTAACTGGTTCACAATCGAGACCGACCCGAAGAACACTCAATATATTGTTACCTCGGGTGCACGAAAGAAGGATGAAGATTGGGATCCAGAAGAAAATGGAGGGTTTAAGATACACGGTATGCCAGCCCTACAAGCTTCCCTGTAGTAGTCAGGCACTGACCAGTTATTTAAGATCCTGACAAAGAAGGTCCTTCGGATCCTTTGGCTGCATTAGAGAAAGAGACACAGGCTCAGACGCTTCTCAATACTGTTCAGAAGCCTCGAATAGAGGCACTACAAGAAGTTTCGGAGCATTATAACAGCGACCCGTACACCCTTTCTTTGCGTGCACGAAAGCGTTTCCGCGCAGAGAAGAAACTCGACAAGGCTCGTAGAGATGCAGATGACGCCGTGAAAGGGAAATACGCGTTACCTGAATCGTTAACACTGGTTGCGGATGACGATACTGCCAGAGCCGAAGCGAGGGAAGCTTTTGCAGTCGGAAGAAGTGAACAGCGTGCAGACAGGGATGCGAAGAGACGACGACTTGACGCAGAAGTCGGTCCACTTGGGTCAATCGTGTCCGCTTCTGGTGCTTCTGGCTCGCAATCGCAATCACGGACGACCTTACCAGACCGTACAAATCGTCTTTCTGTTAAAGCGAGACCTTCGACAGAATCTGCCGCCGAAGCTTCGTTTTCCTTACGGAATCGGCTCCTACAAAATACCGCTCGCCACTCTGACCCGTTTCTGAGACAGAGTAGTAGTAGGACTAAGCCTCCAGATGCAAAGTCCTTAGGCGTGAATTTGAAGAGATAACTATACCGACGCTGTATCTCTATCGCTATCTTTGCTTCTTCCTGTTTCCTCTCCCGTTATAATTTTTTCTTCGCCTCTTAGATTGTAATATGGGTGTGTAGTTGAAGTTTGTATTTAACACTATTGGAGTTGTGTAGTTTACATGGGCCAAAGGATCGGTACACGTACAGCGTAAAGTGACAAATTAACAGGGCAGTGCCAGATACCATGGCATAGTACACGTTAGGCGGTCCACGGATATCTTAACAAACCTGCCTTCATGAACCCTGGTGTCTTCGAATAGAACATACGGAGACATTTCACAGTAGCCATGGCTTTGCTACAATAAACGAGTCGAAGTGTCAAGGCGTTTGATGCAGGCAAGAGTCGTCTTGAGCGAATTAAACGAGTTACTCATTCAAAATCACCCGTGGTGCTTTTTCTTCTGGCCAAGTGCTCGAATGACGAGCCTGTAGTAATAAAGAGAGAGCAGCGAAGTCTAGCATTGCCCCGGCCCATCTCATGCAATGCCGTGAGTTGACTTATTGAAAACCGACGGGGGTCCTGTCACAGGATAATGATGAATCTAATAGGAAAGACTTCATTGTCTGACAGTGACACAATATCCGTTCCTTGCTCTCCAGATCCTATACAACAATGTCCAAAACTTGAAATAGTTTTCTTGTATATTTCCACACTATTAGTTTCATGTAGGTTATACTGGACAGCAAACATGATCGCACAAAGAAACGTTACACGTACAGCATCGGGAGCGAGGAAACAAGAGATGAGTGTGCTGGATATGGTAACATGACATGCATATGATATACGATAGGATAAGGAGAAAGACGCAGGGGAAGTTAGTGGAAGGAAGAGGAAGAGGAGAGATATCATCAAAAGCGTCGACCAAGTATTGATAGAAAGGGGTACAGCAAAAACCATAAGACCAACCGACGTAGAAATAGAACGGATAAATACACATTACAAGTGAAAACGGAAAGCGAAAGATATGATCCAACTGTAATAAGACAGCGAAGGAAATAAGGCCAACAAAAATGAATCCCAGAAAATAAAGTCCGATCTAGGTGGAAATTGCCCAGGAATTGTCGCCAGACGACGGCGGTACGCTGTCCCATTTCCATGTATCCGTTGAACTAAAGTATCCCGACTCGCCACCGTCTATTTCGCCCCAGATGCCAAGTCGTAAAGGGTCAGCGTCATAGTAATCAGTCCTTGGGCCAGACCCTGAAGAATCGACGACCTTCGTCCTGTCATTGACAGATCCAGTAGACGTCGATGGTGGAGGATGGTCAGCTTCAGAGCCAGCACCCGACTCTGGACTTGGATTTGTCGATGACGTCGGTACCAGCTCAGGCGTATCCGGCTTATCATCGTCTTGTTGGAAGCTGGAGAAGTCCAGGAACCGCAAGAACGAATCATCACCGTCAGTAGCCTTTGGCGAAGCAGTCCCAGCACTCGCCAGATTCGACGCTGAAGAGCTTCCTGGCACATCTGGTATATCGAAGCCAGAACCAACTGTCTTCGCCAATTGCGCAAGAGTGTCTTGCAATTCCGAAGGAAGCGCTGAATTGTTGGTCAGCTCTAGAAGTTGTGTCATGTCGCTATAGAACTGAGCTGCCTGTCCAGGCGTCTTGATACTCTCAGCTTCCACATGTCTCCTTAGTGGCTCTGTCTCCGAAACATGTACCCAATCAGTCTTCGCTCGTTTTGAAGGCGTCTCTTCATTAACAGAACTGGTGAGAGCTGCTGGTCCCGACTGATCAGAATCATCCTCTTCGCGCGGTCTCTTGTTTGAACTGTCTGCAGGGGATGGTACAGCTTGTGCCGGGCTAGGGGCAGGTTCTGCAGCTGGCGTCGACGTGGAAGCCGTTGTCGTAGCCGGAGTTGAAGCCGGAGCAACCACCTTTGAAGTTCTTCGTTGCCGCTTAGGCTTCGCCTGAGACTTCGTTTTAGGCGATTTCGGAGTTTGAGGAGAGGTTTGCAAATGGTTCGGAGTAGTAGCACTGGGTAAAGGAGTGGAAGCGGAGGGCGACGATGCACTTTCAATTGCGACAGGAGATGTACCTAAGGTGCCTTTTTGCTTACTCTGCGCGGCAGACGGCGGACGATCAGGTGTCATTTGAGGCGTCCGAGTAGGCAGCGGCCGAAGGTTCTGTTGAGGCTGGTGCGGTGGCTGCAGCTGCGGTTGCACCGTAGGTGGACGGGGAACAACAGTTGCAGGGCCTTGTTGGGGAACCGACGAATGAAGTACCCCGTCATTTTGCTGTTGCGCAAATGAACGGGGCTGATTCTGGTCTCCTTGCGGTAGCATTTTCAACTGCCGCACCATCAAGCCTATCCTCCTTTGTATATCCATCACAGAATTCGCAAGCCTCTCAAGTGTAGGGATGTCCAAGATGTACATTGGATTTGCAGATTGTAGAAATTGGCGTTGTCTGGTGCACAAATCGACCTGAAAAACAAATACATCAATATAAGAAAGTCTCCACCACAAAAAAAGCATACCATGTTCAGGACGACCTTCACTAACGGTACGTCGTTCATAGTAGCAAGATGCATAGGGAGGAACTTAGGAATTTCTACCAAAGCTTTACAAACATCCTCAAATCGACTGAGGAAATTTCCCTTGTCGACGTCGGATAATTGCTTAAAGTGCTCGGGTCGGATGACTTATGGGAAAAAAAAACATTCAGTCAGAATCCGAAAAAAAAAACACTCGAAAAACCTGAAGAAACGCACTTCGCTCTTTTGAAATACTTTGCTTCAGTTGTTCCATCAGTGCATTAGCTTGTCCCATCGCCTCAGGGGTTGGCCTCTGCAAATTTGGAAGTGCGTTAAGCATTCCCATATTCTGCGAAGCCAGGTGCTGTGCGTTCAGTTGCGGGCGCTGTTGCGCTGATATGTCAGCCGGCTGATCAGAACCTCCGGATACGCCAGGATGCGGAAGACCATTTGCAGAATAAATTCCATTTTCACTAATAAATGGCGAAGAATTGTGCAAGCCCGCCCGAGATTGAAGTTGATTCTGGAAGGGGTGTGACGTATTTCGAACAGCCCCTTGTTGTTGGAGATGGGCGGCTTGTTGCTGAGCAGCTTGCTGCTGCACTTGCAAACGTTGCATTTGCATCTTTCGCCAGGACTCTTGGAGTGTCGGTCTGTTCTGCTCAATATTCCGAATAACGTGTTCGTTGTAGCCAGCGGCGCGCATCTGTTCGACTGTCATATTCGCCAACTTCATCATTTGCATTACCTGCTGAGCGGACAAAGCCTGGTTTGGTCCCGCTGGCTGGCCTTGTCCCGCGCTGGGTTGATTCGGTCCGCCCTGAGGGTCCGCATTTTGGTTGGGCTGAGAGGTGAAAGACTGCTTCATCGTCGCCGACATGTAAGTAAGTTCAAATGTCTCCAGGAGTTGCTCATAAACAGTTTTGAGTTGCTCATCAACCTGTTCTTGTGTCCGACCAGCTTCGCTTAAGCTCGTTGGATTCCATCCCATCTTGGCCGCAATCACGTTCCATAGGCTGTGTCGGTTCACCTGGAATATTAAAGTCAGGAGAATTTACTATGAAACAATAATATCACGCACGTTGACGACGCCACCATACTGCAACACCTCTGTGTGAAGCTGATGAAGGTCTATTTGACGATTGCCTATTGCTAGCAGCCTCGGATCGGGATTCATTCCGCTACGTCTCCACCATTCCCTCATTATACCCAAAAACTTGTCCCGAGCGAATGGGGGAAAGCTCATAGCTGCGGGTCGCTGTTGCCCACCTTGTCCGTCAAGGGTCGAAACGGGTTGCCCTAAATTACTCTGTGCACTGGGTGGCGCAGAGCCTGACGAAGGAGGAGACGCCTGGCCGTTATTCTGAAGAAAAGCTTGTAGCATCTGTTGCTGCTGAGGCGTAGGAGCAGATCGTGGCACAGGAGCTTGCTGGTGCTGGTGCTGCTGCTGGTGGATTAGACTTGGCTGCATCTGTTGATGGGGACCTTGACCCTGCCCACTTTGTGAAGCACCATGAATCAACGGCGGATTACCTGGCAGAGCATTCACAGCATTGTTCGGGTGTGGCATCCAATTTTGGTTCGGCTGCACAAGCGGCTGGCCCGTTTGCTGCTGATGAGAGGCATTCGGAAAACCCATGGAACTCCTTTGTGACAGTCAGTGTCAACATGACGGAAATGACTTATGAGCACTCACGAAGCTCCTTGATTCTGACCGTCATTATTGGACGAAATTGCCTGCGCCTGCTGCTGCTGCTGCTGCTGCTGCAAACGCTGACGATTTGCTAGTTGTTTCGCATATTCCATTAAACCCGCGAGCAACTTTTCCTTATGATCCAATGCGATTTTTTTTTCCCTAAAAGCCATCATCGTTTCTTGTGTATTGGGCGCCGGTACTGCCGTCAACTCATTCTTTTCGGCATCGATCATGCGCTTCAATTGCATCACCTTAACTCGGATTTCATCGAACGTCAATAAACGGCCATCGGCGCTTCGTATAAGATGCCCGACGTCACCCGTACTCGGCATCCCAGATGCAGGAACAAGACCGTTTTGACCTCCAGGTGGGGTTGAGAATTGCTGTTGTCCAAGTGGAGCGGAGATACGACCATCATCAGGTTTGGGAGGGAACATGCCCGCCTGAAAGGGAAGTTGGCTTAGATTCTGTTGCCCACCAAAAGGCGGATTCGTCTGGCCAAAGTTTGCTGGTCCATTCTGGGGCTGCTGTTTCTGTGCGCGATTAAGCAATCCGAGCTGGCGATTCATCTGGATCATGGCAGGGTTGGTAATGCCATTACGCTGTGCGGCCAGCATCTGCGCCATCTGCGGCGTAAACTGGGTGTTCTGGAGACCACCCATACCGCCACTTGGTTGTCGCTGCATGGCGAACATCGGATTCTGGGTGGGTAATCCATTGTTCATTTGTGCCGTCCCACCCAGGTTGGGGAACTGCTGCGCTTGCTGGAGTTGAGGAGGCGACGACTGCTGGGGCTGTTGCTGCTGATTTTGAGTTTGCGAGAGAGCCTGACTCCTGAGGAGTTCAGCCATCTACAGTGAATGATGGTCAGAAATCGAAGGATGGACGAGGTTTGCACGTATAAACGGTTGCGACGTATGAGGGCAGAGTGAACGCACAAAAAGCAAAGGTGCAGAAAGGCAAAGGGAGAGAGAGTACGTGCGAATGTGACATGGAAGAATGCGAATCAAGCAGACTGTTGTGTGACGGAGTGACGGTCATGACCCAGAATAGAAGCTGGTACGGATATTGACCGGTGACTGCACCATCAGGGGAGACCGATGGGACACAGACGGACAATGGAACGAAGGTGAACATTGTAAGAGAATGGTGAGCACACACCTGCTGGTTTGAAAACTGCTGCTGTCCTGCGCCATCCGCCCCGCCCATCTGCGCACGATGACTGTTTTGTATTTGTTGCCACATGCGCTGGTGCTCTGGTCCTACACCGGGTATCTGTTGCGCTTGGTTCAGAGGTGCTTGCGGTTGCTGGTAGGCCATCGGATGCTGCTGCTGCTGCGCAAGATTCATGAAGTTGTTCGGGGGCACCGGGTAGCCCGGAAGGTGATTCGGTCGATCTGCCATGGCGAGACGACCGCAAGCGTCTAACAAAAAGCGTAAAGTCACTCGCGGTGGGCTGTAGAGTGGCCGGGCAGAGCGTGCAGGAGGGCACGCTACGTGCTAGCGCAGGCTAGAGGCCGGGCAGAGGGGCGGCGGCGACAAGAGCGGGAGGGAGGGTGAGAGTTGTGGGAGACTGGTAGTCGTGAGGAGAGGCCTACGAGTGTCGCGTTCTGGTGGGTTACATCGGCGGGGTTCGGCTACTGCCGCACGCTCGGTTCGTCCTCCCGAATCCGGTCTTCTGCACAAATAATGTATAAATAAGACTGCAAAACAGCGTCTTTATTTGGTACGCTGCTGTAACTGCTCTCTGGGCATTCTGATATGCAACCGTGCCGGTTATGTTTTCATGAAAAGAGGCTCAACGTCGTACGTGTATCTAAATACCCGCCTGCCAACGGCGTTTCAGTTCATATGGACACTCCGCCGTGTTCGGCGACTGATAAAACCTTCGTCTATGTGCTTAAAATACATTTTGTGCCAAGTTTAAGGCGCTTTTCCACCTCATGCTCGAAGTTCGCTTCGTCATAAGTCAGTAACCCTACTGTACTGTATCCCATTGACGTTAATATTGCCGAAATGGCTGTAGCAGTTCGCACCCTTTCCTTTATAAGAACCGAGTGCCGCGCCTCGCTCCGGCTTAGAATGATGGTTGCGCCTCTCTGTGACTCTGTCTCTGACTGCATAATTATTCTCCTTTGTTTCACTTAGTACAGCACTCGAGCGTCTGCATGACACAGGCCTTCTCACTCAGCGTCAGTTATTGCCTGCCTCGTCCTCGTATAATAGGTTTTTATCCTACAACAGCACGTCGACAGTCTTACATGCCCACGAAAGCCGGCTAGCTTAAACTTTAGGCATCAGAATGGGCCAAAGCCTACTTGTTACCGCGAGCGATCAGCGGTAAATGAAATCGATTAGCTCAAGGTACAAAACAGAGTACTGTGACTGTCCTCCGCTCCGAAACAACACACGCCCAAGGAGCACTCGTCTACGACTGGTGGTCGCTGTGAAGTGCACTTGGCATCGTCTCGGAAAGAATTGTGAATGTGATCCGCAGTTCCCAAAGAACTCCTAACCGATATATTATTATTATATGTAGGACTATTCACCACAAGTATTTCAAAGTTACCTTCCGATTGTGTCCACCTGACCATACTAAATACGCGCTCACACATCTACGTCCATTAAAGCATTAGACCTCCCGCAGGGCAACGCGTTAATACGTGTCCTATGATCTGTCTCCTTCCAGTCACGATGCTGCGTCTACTTTCATATTGGTGAAGTACTTCTACTGCATGCAATTACTACTCAGGTCACGAGCAGACTTGAAAACCGCGGCTCAATTTACTGGCCTTTTTACTTTCGAATGGACAAACCCGACCGATGGATTACTAACAACCAGTCCGGAGCCGAGGCATCCTCAAACGCTTCCCGGCATTTAGACTGACGATCAGGCAACGTGGCTCAGCATCCAGCGAGGTCACCGAACTGTCAGGCAGGCAGATGTCATTGATTCGGAGGGCGGATATTAGTTCCGATAACCTCACTGGCAGGTCTTTGCGCAAGCGGGAGGACTGTTCCTAGATTATCATTTACCTTCTCCCACACCATGCAAGATGACATTAAGCACGCTCTGAACGGAACATGTCCTTGCGCCTATACAAGGACACTTGTGAGATTGTGGTGTACATATTTATATTACAAACGTAACACATTCTGAATACTCATAAAAGGTGTTTTTGTAATCCAGAAAAGACAATTTCCCTCTTCTTTCTTGTCTATCAGAATTCTCAACCATTGTCAATCTTGCCATATCTAAATTCCATGCATCCATTTGTGACTGCAAAACTGTGTACAACCTACAGATAACATATTACTTGACCCATTTTCGATTGGAATAGCAATTTGGCCAAAAACACAAGAGTAGCACGAAGCAATGTTTAACAAATAATCAAATATTGAAGATGTATTCGTTGAGAAGAAAAACTGCCTTAGTAGACAGTCTAGCAGAATGTAAGTCCTACACAGCTCGGGGTGTCTTCTGGAGTACAATGATGATGAAAATGTAAAAGACGCGCGCGCGCAAAGAACGTGCTTCGAGGTGAGTATCCTTGCGCCTTGTCATGGACAATGATAAATCAGCTTCTGCTCCGTAAGCCGAATTAGATAGAATTAGATGTGGTATTGAATGAGTAAGTGTAACATGTGGCTTTCTTTTTCCAGATATGTCGAGTATCTAAGTATGGATAGAGTCATAGCGAAAATCAGAGACTGGTACGAGGAAACAACCGTCTCTGGAGGGGCACAAGTACGGTTGTGCTGAGCATTCATTTTTCTTCACAGGTGTGGAAATTCGACTCCCGTGCACACCAAGAAGTGACAGTACTGTGAGCACTGCTTATTTTGCATGGCTGCAGTATCTTACTAATATCTCTCCAGGCTCTCAACAGAGCAAGAGCTGGGTTCTCACCCTGAGAAACGCTATCTTGCATTCTGAGAGTCGAGAGAGATACTAGTAAAGTACGTCCATCCAAACTTTAGCTGTCCTCAATTCACTTGCGTGGGGGACTTGCGCGGGGGCTGCGGCACGAAGAAGACTGATGCCGCGAGCAGCGCAAGTCCCTCAAGAATTGAGGATCAGACTTGCAGCAAGGATCGACCATCATTACTTAAGTTGCATACCTCTTAATGTAGTAATGTGAATGTCCCAAATAAAGAAACTTAGAGATTCATCTGAGACATGAGTGTCGTCGCAAAGAAAAAAAATTCAACAGCTTGTCCTCCTCAACTCTCGACCTCTAAGATGGAGCAGAACAGCTCTCAGAATGCTGAACGACCACTCAGCCAACCTCAGACACCAGCTACTTTATTACAGGCATTACAATTACATGCACAAACTCAGGCAGCAACTCACCAGATACAAATTCCTGCCGGTTCTATGGTACCCCCTTCTCCTAGTCCAGCCCCAGTCGTCCATGCTCCAAGTCCAGAGTTTCCAGACAATGTTAGAGCTTTAGCAGCCCTAAATTTCCACATGCATCAGCAAAACCAAGCACAAACTCCGGCTCACCAACCAGTATCTTCCAACTCTTCCAGCTCTCATCCGACCCCACAATCCTCTACTCCAGCTCCTGAGGTCTCTAAGACAGCGAAGGGCAAAGCTAAAGTGGAGAAGAAGGTAGTTAGTAGGAAAACTGGTAAGGGTGCACGCTCTGGAAAAAATGCGCGAGCTTCTGGTCATTCCGAGTCCGAAATCGATCTCCTCACTGAGGAGCAAAGAAATGACGCAGATATCATTGAAATAAACGAAGTGAAGATTATAGCTACCTGGGATGACGAGTCTAGCATCAAATTAGCAGAATACATCGCAACTCCAGAGCGCTGGGCAAAAGTACAAGTGTCATTGCGTAATTTCTGTCAAGAGGTGAGTTACTCACCTCTCATGTACTCCATATTTTGTTTGTAGGCTTTCTCTGTCTTCGCGAGGTACTATACAAAGTAATACAGCTGTCCTACTCACTCATAGTTTTGTTCCAGATCTCCCAGAACATTCTTCCAGAGTATACAGCCGAACAGTGCCTCAATCGGTGGCACTCTATATTTAGGCAGTTCAAGGATACCAGACGTCAGTCACTCTATCATTATGCGATTAAAATGGTTGCTTACCATGTTATTTAGGATGGGAAAAGCATACAGGGGGCGGAGATGGAGACGAGAGTGTGTCAGACCTCCGGACCTCAGCTGCACAGTGTAAGAAATTCGCTGAGGGACCCATTTATCCTATTATCCTCAGAGTGTAAGTCTCCTAATCCCTTAGGATCGTTTTATTTATACATTTGAAGACTTACCTGCCTGGTTATTTAGTGCAGAGGGCCGAGCTGATATAGACAGGTCCATAGAGTTCAGCTCGTCGCGTAAATTCGAGGATGTCGAAGCAGAAGTCAAGCAGGTTAAAGAAGAAGAAAAGAAAAGAAAGAAAGGGGATGCAGCCTCCGAGTTCACTGCTATCATGTCGGAGGCGATCTTTTCCCAGCAAGAACGTCAAAAGGAGTCTACTCAGCTTGATGCTGAGCGATTTGCATATGAAAGAGCCAAGGACGAGAAGGAGGAGGAGTTTCGCCGCAAAAGAATGCGGTCTGAAGATCGAGCCACAAAGATACAGGAGATGCGCAATATGGAAGATTTGCGTCGCTCGAAACTCGAGCAGTACCGTCAGATGCGAGACTCAGACGATCCAGTGGAGCAGGACCTGGCAGTTGACCTTGCTGAGGAGATTCGCGACATCGGTGACACAATCAGACATCTCCGTCGCACTGAGTGGCAGGACTAGCTCGCAAGATTGGATTACGGTGTCTTGCGCGACGATACACGTCAATAAGCTTCAAGGAAGTAGGGTTTGGGATGTATTGTTGGATTACGGTATCTTGCGCGACGTTACAGGCGAAAAACACGTCGATAAGCCTCAAGGAAGTAGGATTTAGTAGATAAATGGGGTACAAACGAAGCGCTATGTAATGACAATGGAAATAGAACATGCGTTCACCGATCTGAAAGACGACACGGTTATGGCTTGTCACGTTAAGGAGCTTCAAGGAATTATATCACCTAGTGCCTGAGTATATCACCTAGTGCCTGAAATCCATTCATGCGCTCCATAAGACGCTTACGGCGATGTAATCCAGCACGATAGAGGTGTCCATCTGCCATCTGATTGATTTCTCTCCTTGCATTGACAAGTCCTTCGTCCAGAACCTCAATTTCTTGAGCAAATACATTAGGATCCTCCTCGCCATTGTAATCCAAAATGTTAGTAGGATCATCATTGATATCAATGAGAATATTGTGTACAACCAAAAGAGCTTCAATAGTCATGTAAATGACATTGATATCAGTGCCTGGAAGGCACCGAAGGGAAGGAAAACGGCCTTTGAGCATACCAAAAGCATGCTCAATAGCAATACGACAGTGTGAGAGGGCGAAATTAAAGTGGCGGCGGCGGCGAGCCTCTTCTGGGTCATTTGTGAGGTCACTTTCGGTGAAAGGGCGCACAGTGAATTGAGTGAGGGGATATCCTGTCAATACAGCAATGCGAGAATGTGAGGTATTGCACATTGAGATATAAAGTCGAAAAGGCTCACCTTTATCAGCCAAAAGAAATTCCTCCTTTGAGAAATGGTCTCCTTTGAATCGCCAGATACGAGAGTCACGAAACACAGTGGTATCCTGTACATTTCCAGGCCACCCTAAGTCATGGTGGGTAAAGCGTTTTTTATCATCGCATATTCCCTGTAGAGCAACCTTTATAATTCCATGTAGTAGAATTAAGTATTATAAGAAAGGAAAAGAGTGAAAAAACTCACAGCATAAAACTTCTTCCTACAGAAGTACTGAAACCCATCCTTCCTTGGTTTTGTAGCAAGAGGGATGAGGGATCCATCTAGCATGCCAATACATCCAGGGAAACCTTGATTCTGCATCCTAATCTTTAGTGCTTGACGTTGCTCTCCTTCTGGCCAGGTGATGAAACGAGGATAGAGCCGGCGGAAAGCAGTAGTAACTCTTGAACAATACAAGTGTACTGTACCCTCTGCAATCGATGCCATCTCAGCAACCTTGATACATGTCGAGGATCCGTTACGTATGAGGAAGACAGCGAGCTGCATCCAAGGTGGTGCTTGTGCCCTGTACATCAGAACGTACATGTAATTTCGACCATAGGATAAGACATGTATGGACTCACTTTGTACCAGTAATTCTAAACACTTCATCATTCTTAATAAGATCAGTTAAGACCTTGAATGACTCGCGGCTGACTCTAAAAGATGTATGATGGATCAGAGAGTGTGGTGGCATGCATATGATTCATAACCTTGAAATTTACCTGAAGAACGATTTAAAAATCAAATCCGATGTGTTATATAGTAAGTTATCCAGGAAATCTTCTGAATGGGATGCATCATATGGTCCACGGTCTGAAGGACGAGCTTGAAGCAGCAAGCGATGAGCTTCGTATGCAAGAAACATGCCCATGAGCAAATCTTCGTCTGTTTTAGCGTATAAAGTCCGGTATAAAGCAAAAGATCCAATGTTTAATGCATTTGTCATGCTATTATACGCTAACGGGGCCATTGCAGAAGGAGAATGGAGAGCGTAAGATATGATAAAATGTGTATTTTGCACTTATTTCACGCTCGCGCTCACTCTATGCGGTCACGGGACCGTGTTATTTATGGTGTTCTGTCACACTAATCACGATTTACGTTGGTTTTGGTGAGGGAATTCTTTGTTTATTTTAAACTCCGACGCTTCGCAAGTCTGCACAAGCACTCAAGAGCACTTGTGCAAAATTGCGCAGACTTGCACGGAGGGAACTACATAAGGCAGGAGTTAAGGTTTTGGGGGAGAACCAACACAGTGGTTCTCCTCCCCGTGCCGAGCTGCAAGTCTCCCTCGCAAGTGAATTGAGGACAGCTATTGTCTGTCATGTACGTGTACGTAATCAAGCATGACCAAACGGTTCTCGTAGGCACCTCCATCACCAAAACGTGCAGAGTCTGACAAGGCAATATATTTACATGTAGACTTTATAAGCGAATATAAGGATCCACAATATGTAAAAAATATATGTCTTAGCAGTAAATTCCAATACATTTTCGTGTTCGATTTGGTGATGCTCCTGTGTGGATTTTCATAGCCTTTTCTCCCTCTCTCTCCGCCTTCTTCAGCAGAGCCTAGAGCTGAGTTCTCACCCTGAGAAACGCAATCTTGCATTCCGAGGGGTGTCTCGATCGAACAGTTTGATTTCTGTGTTTAGTGCAAGTGAATGAGCCGCCTTGTGCTGGAAAGCAGAAGCGAGTAGGAGGCACAATCACCATCAGGCAGGGACCAATTCTTGTGTGGATATGAATATTTATTAATTCTCGCACCATTCTAGGACCGAATGGATAGGAAGAAGCGGTGTTTGTGCTCATCTGTGATCACCGACACTCTGATGATCATCGTCGACGCAGGCTTCCGCGTGGAAAATCCACAGATCCCGCATCCATCCATCCTTCCAATACCTTTTTAAATACTTATGAATATTACGCCTTGAAACGTCCTTTGCCTCTGGACATACCCTAACCCTTGGTCACTCTCTCACCGTTCCCTATCTATCCTCGTTTCATCTTTCAACTCACAGTTATTCACACACACACACACACACACACACACACACCTGTGCCTCATCTCATACTTGTCCAGAACAACATAGCAAGGTGGTGTGTTGTGTCTGCACAGTTATTCAGACTTTACAACTGATTACTGTCTCCCGTCGAATAGATTCTCCCTTGCTTCTACCTGCTTATGTACTACAGAATATATGTCCACAAATAATGTGTGTTCAGAGTCAATAGTACACACTTCACTGCTTACCTGGTAGTTGATTTAGCAGAATGAATTTAACTCTGCCCAGCACAGAGGCACTGCTGTACCATGCAACGATGCAACTCATTTAGAAGAGATTTATATGAAAATTGTATGTCCCAAGTTGCTCTTTGTATGCAATTGTAAACATTTGTTGCTCATTGCATATATGCTGTGCATCATGTTCTTCAGCAACAATACTCTATCTCTGCCATAATTACTATATGGTACCCTCCATGGCTGCATTCATCCTTCCTTGCTTGGTTGGCAAGCATGGAACTGCTCTTGTTTGCATCATATTACTGTGATATTCCTATCGCTCTTCGATTCATACATGAACGTAGCCGGCTTGCTATTACTCCTACGTTTAGCCACTGCGCTTCCGGGAGCGTTATTATTTTATTTTGCTATAAAGAATAATCATGGTGCTACGGGCCAGATGACAGCCTGGTCGTGGGTACTCACCGCGGTACGTTTACAAAATGTTGCAGTCCTATATCATTTGTCTCTGACACCATCTCAGTCAAGTATATTTCTTAAACTAGTACTTGAAGTCGTCAAAGGCTCAAAAGACGGCCCTCCTCATACGATCTTGGAAGCATCAATTTTCGGAGCATTCCTCTTGTCTAGCATTGTTCTCTGGCTCAAAGCGTCGGGAGTTCGGGTTCTTAATCCCTTTGACCGCACGACGTACTCCGTCGCTCCTGGAATATCCCAGATAATCGCCCTTTCCCTTCACATGTTAAGCGTTGCGTTCTTCTTTGGTAGTGTTCTCGCTATGATATTCTTCGCACCGGAGAAGGCGGGTGTATTCGTGTTCCTCGTCGTGACATGGCCTAGGCGGCCAGTAGCCGATTCGCAGACAATGATTCAACTGGTCAGTAACTGGGTCTATGAGTGGCATACCCCAGCACAAAGGTTAGTGAGCTCTTACCGAACATTATTCCTATGTACGGACTGACTTGTGGCCTTGAAGCACGGACCTGCCTCTCCACGAATCACATGTACCACGGGTGTCAAGCGATAACGACCGTGAAGAAGCATAGATACTCCAAAAGTTTATACCCCCAACCCCCCATTGTTCGAAACAGTTCGTTTAATTCATGGAAATGCTTTCGTAAATATATTCCTGTTCAGCTCCCTAGTGAAAATAATTATAACGCATCAGCGTAGAATGTATTGGCTGCTTTCTTCTCCATGGCGAATTTGTTCGAGTTAAACCCTTACGCTGAGTCTCAAGGACAGAAGGTATTAAAAATCATTCGTACCGCCTCGCACATTGAAGTGATTAGGTTTTTACATAAGACAGGGACGACCAAAGGAGTGTAAGATTACTACCTCAATACCACCAGTACTACCACTAGAACCTCAACGACGTAGCCCTCTTCTATCATCTGGACATTCTCCTCTCCATAGCTATCTCATATCTCGCCTTCCTCACGCATTCTCTCAAACGCGTTCTCCACTCTGACATTGCACGCTCAGGGTAATGATCATAGTCCATGACGGGGCAGTCCACGCGCAAGCGCCGCTCCACCATCTGTGCAAAGTCGTCCTCGGAGTATTTCGCACATGCGCCATCCTTCGCTAATAAGCACACGATGTCATCTTCGTCCATAATCGAGAAACGTTGTAACTTGAGTGCGAATATCCAGGATGGTGTAATTCCAATTAGCCGTAAGCCTGGCGAGTCATATAGTGCGCGGCCATGTGCCTCGGCATCGCGCACAGCGGACGTAACGAGTGGGTCCACCATGTAACAGTCACGACTATGTGTGTGACAATCAGCGCAATATAAGATAATACCAAGATGAGTGGGGGACGTACTCGAGATGCCAGGGAAGCGCGACATCGGCCGCAGAGTTCATCCAGTCATGTTCAAGGACAATCAACGGGTTCGAATACCTGCTATTGAATTCAGCAGCAACTTCCGCTATGCACTCCTTGAGAATGGTCCTTGTATCGGGTTTCTTCTTACCACTGAATATACGAGAGACCTTCTTCATGAACGCGCCGAATGAGAACCCTGGCTTCTTCATCGGAAGATCCAACTCCTCAGGTAACACACGGTCAATATAATCAATATCTGTTGTCACAGCCCGGCATTTGTGTGCCAGTACAGCGACGATGCCGCCATGCACCACAAGCGTCGTCTGTTGCCCACGCCGCTCCAGCAACTTGCGTTGTAGGTTATCAAGTAACAACAGGAGGGTCTTCTCATTCAGCTGATTTTGATGCGTCACAACTTGTCGTGACCGGAAAGAGGAAGTAATTCGAGTGGGAGGGTATGGCAGTGGTCTGGGTCGGCTGTACATAGCGACTCCGAGAGTTGAGGGAGGGGGGTGTCAGGACTCGTCGTACCACGCTGGACAAAGTGGCGAGTACCACTTCTGGTATTTCAAACACCTAGAGCCGCCCGCAATGTGCCCGCAGATTGCGCTGGCGGGTATGGCAGTTGAATTTCTCGAAGTAGCAGGTACGGCAGCACAGGTAAAGAGACTGGAAGGGTCGAAGGTCCTAAAGCAAAATTCCGCATTTTGGTTGCAGTTGGAGAGTGAGTGCAAAGCTGGACTATGGGCGGCCCGAATAGTGCAAAACAGCAGGTTATCGAGACCCAGCACGACTTGCGGCGGCGCACTAGTTCATTACCCCTTTCTGCATTTCCTTGGCAAATAAAACACAGTAAGGTGAGTCGCTGACGGTGAATTCGCGGAGGTCATGATCACTGTTGAGTACGTCCCTTGTTCACTTGTTGTACCGTACGTATTGAATAAGTATTCGAGCCTAATGAGTCTGACAACATTCTCAAAAGGTCGACCAGTCCAATATTAGCCAGTCCCAGGATTAATTGTAATAGTATGACTGAGAATAGCAAGCCCCAAAAAGGCATGGCTAACTAGAGAATGTCTGGAAATACATTTTCAGCCCAGATTTCATAGTCTTTCGCATGTCGGGCTTTGAAGAAAACGTTGCCAGATGAGTGTGTTGGCATAAAGAAGACAGAAATCGGGAGAAAATCGGCGGTTGTCACAAATGCTGACTCTGCTTACGTCATCGTCCATTCCTGCCCGGATTGTGATGACTGCGCACCGCCCCACACTGGTGACTGACCGTACGACTTTCCCTCCGTTCTCCCATCTCCTCGTCCATCCTTGACAATATTGAACATATCGTTGTTGCTGTCGCCGACATCGCGATCAGCAGCCGTGGCAACTCGTTGGCTATGCCCAACTCGTCACCGCCGCATTACTCATCCATCGTGGGCTCGCCAGTCGGTACCCCCGACCTGCCCGGCCAGAGTGCTCTACCGCCCTCAAATGCTTCAGCGTACACTCTAGCTACCATCCCTCATGCAGGTCCATCGACTCCGCGCTCACTATCTCCTGTTTCCTTGCGGAGTTGTGACTCAGACCGATCGCCCCTATTAGGCTCCGATGCATCCTCCTCCAATGCATCTTATGGCGCGACAATGCCCATGTCACCCAATAGCAATATTTCTTCTAGAAGAATTCTTTTGAATGCTGGAATCAAGATGGCAGCTTTGTTTGTTATCAGCACTTTACTTCTTGGAGGGACATTGTGGCTCGCATTACCTCCTTTAGAAGAGTAAGTTGAATGGCATTAGAACCTGTACAAAGGAATGTTCAACTCAACATCTCACAGACAAGACCGTCCTTTCCTTCGTGTACCCAAGTCGTTCGCTCAGTTACAGGATCTCAATTATTTGCTGAAGAAATATCGCGATATCTATCCAATACGTGTCATCATATGCTATGTTACCACTTATTTATTGTAAGTTCGATTTGTACGCAATGCGCTGTGCGTAGTCAGATCGTATTCACAAATATACTGATCATCGTATGTTTTGCTTTATCTTAGCTTACAAGCTTTCTCTCTTCCGGGTTCAATGTATTTATCAATACTTGGTGGCGCAGTCTGGGGTGTCCCCATCGCCCTTCCACTCGCGTGCACATGTGTCGCCTGCGGCGCAACACTCTGCTACCTCATCTCCGCCGCCCTCGGTCCCGCTCTTTTAACACTCCCGAAGTGGGCTGCACGACTAGACCGCTGGAGCGCCTCCCTCGCCGCACAACGCGCAAACCTCCTATCCTACCTCATCGTCCTCCGCATCGCACCTTTCCCCCCACACTGGGTCGTCAACGTCCTCGCCCCGCATCTGCGAATTGGGATTATCCCGTTCTGGGTTAGCACGTTCTTAGGCATTCTCGGCGTGACTGTGATCCATACAACGATCGGTGGTGGACTAGACGATATGACGAGTGCAGCAGATTTCCATCTCATTTCATGGCGGAATGGACTTGGGCTGAGTGCCGTCGTTGTTGGTGTACTTATCCCTGTTGGACTGCGTTACGTCCTTTCTCGTCGTGTAGGAGGTGCAATTGCTCTCCCAGAAGATGAGGAGGAAGCAGGCGAAATCGACCCTGAGACAGGTGACACAGTCCTTGCGCAGGGACTATACGCACCAACAGGGAAAGGCAAGACTCCTGCCCCTTTACTCGTCCTCCTATCAGACTCGGAAGAAGAAGACGAGGACGTAGATCTGCTAGACGAAGAAGAGGACGAGATACTCCTTTCCGGATCTGCTATCGAACCAGATAATGTTAAAGGGAAGAACGTTGAGCGCGGGGAAAGGGAGAAGCTCATCCCTACGTCTGCTGGTTCATCCAACTCGAATTTGATTTCGGATTCTAATTTGACGACGAATACGAACACGAACATGAACAATCCTTTAGACCTTTTTCCCCTTCCTCTTCCCATTTCTTCTCCGAAGCCAAGCAACTGACGTTCGTTAGGCTGTCGCATTCGGAATGTTGTGTTGTCCTTTCTTGCTACTACTAGTACTCTGAATACTCACCTGTGTGTTGTTAATTGCGCGTTGCTCGCATGTGCAGCTCGCTGTATGTTTCCATAGAGAATGTGAATGTATCATGTCTTCAAAATTCCGGAGCCGTTTCGATGTTCGTTTGGAACAGCAAGGTTGATCTAAGAATATATCTTGTCCTCGGCAGCCTCTGCGTTTGGAAAGTGATTCGTAGTATCTACTATTTTATTCAGTGTGTCGGTCTCTGCAACGTCCCACAATCCAGTGATTTCCGGTCCGACGATAATTGTATACAAAGTAGTGGTAATTTTCTTTATTTCAATCTGATTTACGTGGGAAATTGTTGCCTTTGAGATAGCACATCATGAGAGGCAACTTCGACAGCGTCATCATCTCCAAATATGGGATGACAAACACCTTTCGCAAATGTTGTAAATCAAAGAACCTTATCAGAAAATCACTTATTCAATTGTATCAAACAAACCGCAAATTGAATAAGAAATTCAATTCAATTTCAACAAAACCAACCATTTGCGCCTACTCAAAATACAACAAATTCAAAACTTCCCAAACTCCAAACCTGTCTGTACCAAGTAAAACAAAGAAATGGCGGGAGAGACTGAGAATGAGATAACGATACTCGTGAAAAACCGTCGTGGCTCCGCTAAGTCAAAATAGCACCAGACTAGACTAGAGTAAACTAGAAATACTACTAGTGCTAATGAAAAGCGAAGCGGTGACATGGCAAGTATGGTATGATAGAACATCTCGGAGAGAAAACGTTGTATATATGTAAATACGCAGCACAACACCAACACCAACAACACAACTCCAATTCGCGTTTCCTGAACGATAGTGATATAAAAATAATAAAGCCCGAGTAGAGGAAAAAAAACATTGTGGAAAGTTAGAGTCTGGTAAAATTGTGATGAAACCTCTGCCATCAAGCTGGTCGACGCGACACGACGCAAACCGCACGCAGCCTAACGCATCGCCGATAATCAACCAGGCTTGAAAAGAATGCATCAAGCAAAAAGCAAGAGATCCCAGGTATCAAAAAAACAATTGAGAAGTTAGATGGATGCAAGAGATATACAGAAAAAAGAATGGACGACAGAGCGGCTAGCGCTCGTTTAGCGACTAGCATGCGCGTCGGGGTATAGAGTCTGGGGACTTTAGAGAGCCAGGGCAGCAGCAACAGCCGCGAGGGATGCGAAAATTGTTGCGGCCGCTGGGAGGTGTACATTCGACATTGCGCCAGAGGCGTTACCGAGTGTTCCCGCGTTTGCTGCACCGACGGCGGTTGCAGTCTCGGAACTAGAAGCTGCAGAAGCAGTCTTGTACGAGGACGTGAGAGTAAGACTACAGGAGCAACAAGTCCCATCCTGTCAGATATTTGTCGACAAAATGCACGATTGATAACATACGTCGTAGCGGATCCAGAACCAGAAGAGTCGGTGGAGTTCTTCGATGAGGAAGAACTGGGCAGGCAAGAATCATCGCCATCCTTGACGGTGATCTAGGAGATAATGGAAAATCAAATTCAAGGCAATCAATAAAGACCGAAGTAATTTCTCAGGACCAGTTGTACGGCGATATACATACCGTTCCGGACCACGCTTCCTCGTCTGACGAGTCCAGGAGCGAAAACATGACTTTAGTACCAGCGGGAACGGTGACGTTATTCCATGTCATGGACAGTCCCTTATGGTCACCGAGATCGACACTGACAGAAAGAAGAATCCTCAGTAAGCTAGTCCGTTGAGGAAGCGAGCTGCTGGCTACTTACAGGACCTTGTCGCAGGGGTCATCAGCGGGAACGACGGCCATGTTGTACGGGGCAGTTGCCTCAGTCCAAGTGATGTGGGCAGAAGCACACTTGTATCCAAAAATTCACCGAGAAAATTGAAGAGGAAAATATGTCAGAGCTCTTCTAACGCCCTCTACACATCAACCGTAAAAGAGCGACAAAAAACTCACTTGGGTGAGCTCAATTGTAGCGATAGAGAACTCGGCAAGTGCGCCTCGGATTGTGAATGCAGAAAGGAGCGTGGCAGAAATGAGTGTAGCGAGCATCTTGTTGGACGTAGAGGTGCGCGGAGCGACGAGAGTGGAGGACGAGGGAGAGGTGGGACGCGAAGAGCGATGGACGGGAAGAAGAGAGAGGTGGAGGGGAAAGGAAGGCTAGGGTTGATTTGGGAAAACGCGCGAATGGCTTGGCCGCCTCGCCTAAACGACCGGAACTTCCCGCACACCAGATGGCACTCGGCGCGTCATCTTCTCACTCTTCGGAGTTCGAATTCGAAGTCCAAATTACTTCTTTTATTTATTCCAAGAAAATCAGGCACAGCGCGGGAAATCCATCCCGCGAAGGTACTGCAACTGCAAAAGGACGTCTACATATATTTATCATAACTTGCTCTTTCCTACATATCTCGCCAGCATCGTCCTCTTGCTCTGCCTGCCACGTACATCAGTGTCAAGAGATTTCTCCAGAAATAGTGGTGGAACTCACCCGGTGTGTCTGACGGGCGTCGGCGTATATGCGGAAGCATCATCGGGGACGCGGTCGTCCATGGGAACATAATCTCGCCTACCAGGACCAACATATATCTAGCACTGGGCATCAGCTCACCCAAAGTCTTCACAAGCAGGTTGCTGGACGTACTTGTCGAGGTCGCCAGATCTTGACGCCACCGGGTTGAAGCATCATCTAGGTATATTTTTTGTACATGCTGCGACCGGCGTGATCAAATGGAGTCACGTACCTGTCGCCAATGTGCAAGCCATCCGACAACTCGAGGAACCGCAAATAGTACGGGGAAGAAGTCAAGAGGGAAGCCTAGCAACCGCTGAGAATCAGAAAGTAGGCGTCTGAGGATGGCGCTCACCCATGGCACGGTAAATTAAACCGCTCCTAAATCAAGCAATTAGATTTACCCTTTCGGAAATCAGTCTTTTTTTTTTGCGCACCAGAAGTCCACGTTCGGGGCGAGCTTCCGTTTGATGAAATATTCGTCCTCCATCGCAACTTCGTGTAACCGCATCGCTGTTTCGAGAAGTTCATCTTTCCCGGTACTACAAAAAATAATTAATACCAGAAACGCGACGAAGATACGCACGTACACTTTGAAAACCTCATCGGCAGTCTTGCGCACGATAAACGACCGAGGGTCCGACTATTGTGTCCCGAGATCAGCAAGCTCGAAACGGAACGGAACACATATATAAGCATCATACCGTTTTATAAACGCTAATTAAGAGTTGTAATTAATTGAACGAAGCAAGTAATAAACACTCCACGTACCGATGTCCGAAGCCAGACAAGACCTTCTCACGACGCTTTACTGCCTCGACGAATGCAGGGACATTGTCAGGTGAACCGATAGAAATGAGCATCCGAATTACAGCTTCATTTGCACCACCTAGCGAGCCCGCTTTGTTAATGAAAGACTACACATAAAGCATTCGGACGTACCGTGTAAAGGTCCACTACCCGAATGTGGTCGTTGAGTTAATGCAAATATCAAAAGGTAAGAAATACGTACTATAATGAAGCACAGCCAGCACTTAAAATCGTTCGATAATCAGCTATCATTAATAGAAACTAGCAGAACTGGAATAACTCACGCAACTGCAGAATACGGATCAACGAGCGAGCTAGCTGTCTGAAGAACAGTTGTGCACGACGCATTCAATTCGTGATCCGCGTGGAGAAGGAAAAGTATATCTAGCGCCTTCGCGAGAACAGGGGAAGGTGTATAGTTCTGTTCTCCCAGATGATCCATTTGGTAGAGGAACCTAAAAGACAGCGTGCTCAGCTTTTTTAAAATCCGAAGATTACTTTTTGGACATACGATGCTGTATAACTCAAGCCTGCAGGAGGCGTCACGAATTTCCTGCCTTGCCGTACTCGGTATGCCATCCTAGTCAATAAGTCAAATCATAAATGATGAATAATTCGTATTCAATTGACTAACGCAGCCAGAGTAGTCGCCTTCCCGATGAGCCTGTAAATTTGTTTGTCCATGTTTGCTAGCGAAGCTGAATCGCCTTTGGTATAGAGATTCTGCCCTTGTAAGGACGGGTTTGCCTTGATACCATATCATTAGCTCAAGTCAACTTCGGTACGTAATGAAAGCAACGTACCTCGCTATAAAAAGAACCTAAAGAAGCAATGGCACTCGTCAAAATTGCCATCGGATGTGCGTCATAACTATAGAAGTAAACTTAATCATCGTAATTCTAGACGACTGAGTTTAGGAGACAGCCGTACCGAAACGCTCGGAACAGGCCTTCTACGTCGGAGTGCGCGATGCTGTGGTGCATGACTTCGTTCTCGAATACGCCATACTGTGCCTTTGTGGGCAAATACCCGTAGATGAGCAAATATGCGGTCTCCAGGAAATTCGATTGCACTGCGAGCTGTTCGATAGGGTGTCCTCTACGTAACACGTTAGACTCTTTGATGAAGGTGTCGTCTTCGAGCAACTGACCTGTAGCGAAGCACTAACGCGAACAGACGCTTACCATCACCTGATACAGATTTTAGTTAAAGATGTAACGTACCTCCCGCTTCTCCGTCTATATAAGTGATCTCCGACGTGATGACAGCAGTATTCAAAAATCCCTTGTCCGCAACGCGCAAGCCTCTCTCCGTCTCGTTCTCCTCGCGTTCATTAGGTCTACGTGGAGCAGCAATCTGTTTGAATGCTGTCGCAGGTATAGTATTGTTCGAAATACTACAATAGGAAATAAATTATAACTCTCGAAGAAACTGTGCGGAAGCAAACTCGGTACATACGGAATATCATACACTTTGCCTGTACGGTTGTCGCGAACTGTTAGCGAGTCCTCTGGAGGAGCAGGAGCTCCAGCGGTTGGTCTACCCATGTTTCGAGTTGAAAGATTGACTGTTGACGCCACGTAGCTATAGGGTAAAGAAGTGGATGCTTAGGGAGGAGAACCGGTCAGACTTTCAGGCTCTTGTACCAGTGCCGCAAGCGCGTCACACTCGACGCGATATCACATGCATTTCACCTGCCCAATCTGGAGTCTTTGAGAGGAAGCAGAAAACACGTGATCCGGCAACAAAAGAACGGCAGAACCAAAGAACTGCTTCTACTTCCTCATTTTGACTGCTACTCGGTGAGAGAGTTTCACGACTTGCTTTATTTGATAATTTACAGTTAATTAATCGCATATAGGTTTTCGAGTATGACCAAATATGATGGCCCCAGACAAGTGACTCGAGTTGCCCACGAAAATTCTCCTCAAACCTCAAGATATTCCTTTGCAATGTACGAGACACTGGCAAACTGGACACCCCTTATGTAGTGTTATCTGATCCTTGCAAGATGAAACCCGATCAAGTATTAATGTGCAATCAGGTGTCGAAGCAAAAGCCAGCGAACATCATGTTAGTGCTGACGCACGATTCATCAGGTGCTGCACATCATTTAAGCACATGCAGATTATCAACTGGAGACCTTCTCGCCATGCAGCAGCGTGCTAAGCTAGGTAATGGAAGGTTTCAATATCTTATTCTTGAAGCATTGGGATGCGGATCCTGATCGGTATTCGATAACAAATATTTTGTGCGTCTACTCTTTTCTTTACAAGAATCAAGACTACAAGATGTTCTGACGTGTTGATCCTTGAACAATAGTTCATGCGTTCATGCATTTGTGCACGCAAACAGATTTTGCTCCAATCTTCTCACTGGGATTGAGGGAAAGCAAAAGATCCCACTGATACAAATAACGGGGCACTTGTGACTGACACCGAGAGCAAACAGGAAATCTTGTTCGTTGAAATCAGCAAGTTACATCCAATGAGACGATCTGTTTGATATATGATCCTTTGGATACGATCCAGTTCTCTGACAATGGACCAATCAAGAAACGGTACCAATATTCTGAATTCTCGTTATATTGCTTTAGGACTTCAGTATAAATATAGCAGCGAGACTTCTCTATCTGTATTACCCCTTTCCCTCTCTTCCATACCCACTTCTGTTGTTAACCTCATACAGTCTTTACATATTCCTGTGCAGGATGCATCCAGTCACTATATCACTTTGATAGCTTTCGGTTACACATCAAGCTTCATTCCCCTAACACATTTTCGACGCTGAGAAGATGCGGTGTATTCTTTCCCTTTGACCATGGTACCCACAGGGAAACGTCAGCTTCAGTACGATCAACGTTATCTCGACCTATCTAGTTCTTCTGCCACTCTTCCTATTTGATGGCATTTCTGCTGCTCCTTTTTTAAGCAGCTAACCCCTTGCACAAAAATCTAAGTTGTTGCTAATGGATTGTATATTATTAGAGTGGAAATCGGCAACCCAACCGTGGCGTTCTTGAGAATGCGGACACATTGCCGGTATCACAGGCAACAGACTCTATTCTAGGATCATTTGCCACTGCTACTGTGTCGCCCGTATCGTCTGTCTAAACTGGTGCAGCCAACGAGCACTGCAATATCATTATTAATCGATACCCAGTTAGTAGGTTTGGCTTTACGGACGATGAAAAGGGTCGTTCGCCATTTGGAGTTGAGCGAGTTGTGCTGACTTTGATGATTATCTCTTCATATTGAAAAAAAGTAGATAGTAGTCAATAGTTATTATACAGTAGTCGTCTGCATTACTTGTGGCTGAACTCACTATATGCACCTGTTCCGCTGAAAATGACCATATTTCTCTTTGTACTCCCTATATTTAATGGCCATTAATTATGCTTCTTGAAAGCACGTGAGTCCTTACAGCAGGTTGTGAGAAATAAGAGTGCTGAGGTACAGCCATTTTGCCTGTTGTAAGCACGAACGTACTGTCAAGTGCTCGGGCGAACTTTCACACAAACATCTTGATGATGCTAACCCGCCAAGGCCGGCATGCGCCACACATCGCTTGAACTCACACAGCATCTCGGCGAAGACTTTCTTGCTTATGGCATTATGGCAATGTGCACTGTCCCAACACTCCGCTTCTATCTTTTGAGATGGGAGGCTGTTGTGACTGAGTGCTATTTAAGCTAGGGAATGGAAGTTTTCGCTATCTGATCCTTGAATTATTATATTTTAAAAACTGATCGGTATTTATTTTATAGTCCTCCATTCCATTATCGACAAGAATCGAGAGCATGACGAGTCCTGCAAATTTCATTTCTACGCAGTACGGTAACTACTGGAATTGTTCAAACGAATTAATCTTGATTCATCTAGTTTATTCCGGGAAAACGAAAGAGCCTTTGAGACGAATAGCAGCACACAGGCCGCCTAGCGGAACTGATAATTGATGCGAGGAGCGAACAGGAAACGTTGTTCGTTGATATCTGTGTGGCGCACCTAATGAGAGAATTTGTTTGCTATGTGATGCCTTGGATACGATCTACTTAGCTGACAAACGACCGATCAAAAAGTGGAGTCGGTGCTCCGATTTCTGATTATTTTCTTCGGTGTTCTAGTATAAAGACAACATCGACTCCTCTACATGGACAACCCGCTTCGCTATCTTCCACCACTTTCCGTTGTCAATTTATACGCTCTTTATATATACTCGCGCAAGTCGCATCCGTTCATTACTGTGGTATCAACAGCCTTTGGTTACCTACTTGTCTTTCTTCCCACTTACCTTTGACACTGAGGAGATGCGGTACGTTCCTTTCAATTGGTCGTGATAACCTTCAGTGTTGACAGGGAACACCAACTTGAGTAGAATCAACATTATTTCGACCTATCTATTCCTTATACCGCTATTCATTTCCAATTGTGTCAATACTACCCCTATTGTAAGCTTTTGCTCCTATGCAGAGAGTCCAAGTTTGTTACTGATTGATTTTTAATCTAGCCAGTCAGCCACAACACTACAGATGATACGGACTCATCTCCGGCATCACAGATGAAACATTCTGTTAAAGAATTATTGGCTACTGCTACTACTTCCTCTGCTGTGTCGGTCAGCACTGGCACAACGGATGAACACCATAATCTTATTTTTTATCGAGACGACGGTAATAATAATATGGACGGTGACAATGGTCGTCACGGGATTGAGCTACTTTGTGGAAAGAGTTTAATTTGTTAACGTTTGTTACTTGCTGTTCTGTTTAAAACTAGAAGAGAATTGGTAGTAGTGATTATGTTGACATTAATTACATCTCTTGGACTTTACTGGATTCACCAATCACCATGTGCAAACATTATACTGAAAAATGGCATTTATCGTCTCTTCGTATTCTGCATATGTATTATAAGACTTTTGGTAGCAGCTCCTTACAAACGCATGTCTACAAGCAAAGTAGATTTTACATACAGGGGGGTTTAGATTCAGGCAGACGCCTGCCAGCTAATACATTGCATATAATTTGAACATTATTACCATTTCCGCCTAGACGTGCACAGCCACTGCCGATCCTCACCTCAGATTTCTCTTTTCCTGCACCGCGTTTGAAGGACGATTTGGGATGGCACCACCAAAACGACATTCAACAACTCGGCTTCCACAATCTCTCTTAGAAGAAATCGATGCGCAAGCAGGTATTTCCCTACTCTTTCGTTCCTCGTGCGCAAATTAAATTCATATTGGAAGAATAGGCGGTTCAAATGGTCGACGAAGAAATTCAGCTGTGCGGAACAGGAAAGCAGAGAGAAAGGCTGAGCGTCAGTTAGCGAAGCAACGCAAGGCTCAGTTCTTCTCGCATGCGTCTAATGAGCCCGTGAAAAAACAAGTCCATGAAGCGAAAACAAATGTTGAAGGTCCACCCCGTAAAAAGGTCAAGTTTCAGCTGACCGAAGGTCCTCAGCATGGACTTCGAGAGCTATCGCCTCTAGATGAAACGAAAATAGCGGAAGGTGGAAAGAAAGCGACAGATGCAAAATCAAAACATTCGAAGGCAATTGTACCAAAGAAACCAAAAGATACGGATTGGAGCGTGGAAAGGAAGCGATCAAGACGGGATGAAGAGGAGGACGCGTATTTGGAGATGCTCGAGAAGCAGCTTGGGATCAAGAAAGACAAGAAGGGCAAGAGTCGATACGGTGGTGGATTTGAAGATGATGGTCTACTTGGTGAGTTTATGTGCTTGATGTTCCATATTACACTACTGACAGCAGGATTTGGGTAGATTTATTGGTCAATCTGGACGAGAAGGTACTGGGTGACGTCGAGAATGAGCCAGAACATTCAGTGAGTGCATCGTTCCCTCTCTCACTCTCATGCATGCCTCACAACATATAAAAGCTTGACGTCAGCCAGAGCTCTGACGAGGCAGAAAGTTCTGGATCTGATGACGGCGGATCTTCAGCTACGGACGTATCAGGCGAGGAAGAGGAGCAGTGGACCGGATTCGTCTCAGAGTCAGAAGAATCCGACGAAGAGGACATGGGAATGGACGAGGAAGTGCCACCTACTAAAAACGTAGCTGAACAAAATTCAAATACACAAGGTTCAGGTCCGTGGTAGTTACTCTAATTGTCCGTTCTTCAGTTCTGGCTCTAATTGTGCTTGGCAGGCTCTAAATATCTTCCTCCGCAGCTTCGGGAAGATGCGTCTAGGAAAAAGCAAGACAATCCCGAGGTTGATGTGAAGTTGACTCGACAGTTGAAAGGCCTTCTGAACAGGCGTGTTTCTTTCTTGCATGCTAAATGAGCGGGCTATAATAAATCCCTTCTAGGTTGAGTGAGCAAAATATCGATTCTATTCTCAAGGAGATTGAGAACCTTTACCGGTCTCACCGACGACACGGTGAAAAAATCCTGAGACGTTCACGCTTGTCTGTTAATAACTGATATGCTCCGTATCCAGATATCACCTTAACATTAACGAACCTGATAATTGAAGGGACTTGCTCACACTCCATTCTCCTTGATGCTTATGTCGCTTTGCACGCGGGGCTTGTAGCGTGCCTACATAAAGTCATCGGAGTGGAAATCGGTACGTATTTCGTCATTTACCAGGTCCAGTTTCTGACCAAATGACATCTTCAAAGCCGCATATTTCGTTCAAAACGTTGTTGCTAACTTTGAACGCCATTACTCAAAATCAAAGGAATCACTAGTACCCGGGGGTAGTGCGGAAGGCGAGGTGAAGGACGAAGAAATAGGGAAGGAATGCTCCAATTTACTTGTGCTACTGTCCGATCTCTACAATTATCACGTTATTTCGTGCGTCTTGGTTTACGACATCATCCGGCTTATTCTTGAAGGTGGACTATCGGAGTTGGATGTTGAGCTTATCTTGAAGCTCGCAAGAGGTGGGCAACACGTTCCTTTCTCTACTGTAAGGGATTGCGGTGATTTATCGCACCACTTTCACGGACAGGTTCTGGTTCGCAGCTTAGACAAGATGACCCGTCTGCCTTGAAGGACATCATTCAGATCGTGCACGCTAAGCTTGGGGGTCAGCGTAATACGAGGTATTTTTATCCTTAACGAATATGGCATCTATTAACCGAACCGTAATTTAGTTCGCGAACACGCTTCATGGTTGAAACGCTCAACAATCTCAAGAACAATAAAATGAAGAAGGCCGCAGCAGGTGCACAAGGTGGAAACGAGTCAAAAGAACGTATCAGCAAATTCGTCGCTGGCATAGGCAAGAAATATCACGGTTCGTCCTTCCTTAACGTTGTGTAATTCTCGACTAAACGTGAATCTCTTATGACAAGTCCACGCACACGAGCCACTCCGAATATCGCTCGATGACTTACGCCAGGCGGATTCGAAAGGAAAATGGTGGTTAGTTGGTGCAGCATGGGGTGGCGATCCACTAGTTGATCACCAAGCTTCCCTGGATCATTCCTCGGACAAGACTGTGCCCGCAGAGGCAGATAATATGCTACTCAAGCTTGCTCGGAAGCAGGGTATGAACACTGACGTGCGGCGGAGTATATTCGTCGTTCTCATGAGTAGCGATGTAAGCACACAAACTTTAGCATAGCATAACGCTTCTGACACGATTTGACTTTAGGATTATGTTGATGCTTGCGATCGGCTAGCGCAGCTCAACTTGACAGAAGTCCAGCAACGCGAGATCATACGTGTCCTAATACACTGTTGCGGGAATGTAAGCTTTCCATCCACTCGTGTTGTCGACTGTCTAACCTTTTTCTTCGTTAAGGAAAAATCGTACAACCCCTATTACACGCTCATCGCCTCTCACCTCTGTCAACAATCCCACAGTCACCGAGTAACTCTCCAATACTGCTCCTGGGATTTTCTCCGTAGTCTTGGTGAGACGAACGTCGGTGGCGCGGAGATGGCGAAGAACTTAGATGATGCAGACGGTGGAGAAAAGGAAGGCTTCGAACTAGATCGAGTGTCGAGTACGCGCATGGCGAATGTTGCGCGAATGTATGCGTGGTTAGTTGTCAAGGAATGCGTGGCAATTACGATTTTGAAGGTATGACTCGCTTATTCCATTGTATCTCTTTGACTTTTCGTACTAAGTATGCCCCGCTTATGTAGACACTCGACTTCATATCATTCAAATCTAAGACCAAAATATTCCTCAAAGTGTTCTTCACACATCTCTTCGCAGATTCACAAAATCCATCAACCGTACCGAGTCTGAGTACCGATATCGATCCAACTATAGTTGGCCGTCGTGACGAGAAAGCATTGACAGACATGTTCGTCAAGGCAACGCGAGTACCTGCTCTGGCACTTGGCATCTCGCGCTTCCTCACGTCCACTTTCTGTTCTCTTGACGATGAGTCCGAAGGCAGGGATAAGACGGGTGCATTCATGCGGTGGTGTTGTGAAGTTGCCAAAAATGTTTTGCACAGTGCACATGACGACCTGTGACGGTCCACACAACGCTCGTGTGCATGTATACTTATTCTTCCTTTACGATCTTTTGGAATGCCATGCCACAATATGTGCTACCTTGTACTCCTCCAAATGATATACTTGGAAACTCGACCTGTGAACTGCAAAGCTGTGCTTTAATATCCAACGTTCTGCAGAACAATATGTGGGACGAGCCAACAGAGAATTTTACTTACTAAAACACCAGACGAGTTTCCGAAGTCTGAAATGTCTTCAGCAGCTCTTCTCTCGTAAAGTTACATGCTATCATAGTCAAAAAATTCAATCTATTTCAGTGCCACTTGCTCCTAGTAGATTAGCGTATGTGCACTAACATGTAATCAAGAAAAATCCTCCATCCTTAAGCAATTCTCCTATTCTTTTCGGATACACGTCTCGAGGACTCTTTCCCTCGCCGTATGCATCTCGGGCTGCAAGAGCCATAGCGTCGTACGTGCCCTTATCCAATACGAGGTCCCACCCGTCATCATCGCCCATAATTGGTAGCCCTCTCAACTTCTCCATAGCGAGGAAATCAACCTCAGCAAACCTTATGCTCTCATACCCTTCCCCTCGTTCTCTAGCAATACTCTGCGCTAGCCGAACTGCGTCAGCACTATAATCGATTCCAACCATCCGTTCACCTCGGTATCCATTCTCGACAAGTGCAGATAAGAGGTTGCCGTTCCCACTGCCGATTTCAATTATCTTCGGTGAATGGCTCTGTGCTGTACTAGACGAAGATGTGTTGTTGTAAAGAGGCACGTTTACTAATGCCCAGTTGACCATTTTCTCTACACTATCTTCTCCAAACCTAAGGAATATTGATATCGATATCGATGAAGTTTCGTTGAGCTGGATATTCCACACCTCTAACGGAAATGAGACACACACCAAACTTCACCCTCATCGCCGAAATCTTCAAAGTTCTTTACTTCGGCCTCATAAACACTGTCCCAGCTTCTCCAAAATCCCATTGACGTCGGAAAATTAGTGATTGTTCTGCATGAATAGCGTTCCACTGTGGCACTTACTATTCCTTCGTACCCAACTTTGACGGCTTTAGATCATCGTCACTGCATTCGTTGTCCGGCACAGACACAGAGCCAGACATATCAATAGCTGGTCCGTATTTTCCTGTCTATGATAAATAATTATGGTAGTGGAAGGCAAAAATCATCTCGAAGTTACTTAGTGTCTCTTTCCAAATCCGCTGATCGACAAAGAAGGAAAGCGACCAGCATTCCCACGTGTTAACCCTCACTTTCGTGCACTTCCACTGAGCTTCTGTCGGACTATGACAATTTTGGTCGTACAGTAATCCAAAAATTAATATTGTTTACAGTTCAGCTGTGGGTGTCAGAAATCTTTTATTGACGTACCCGGATATTGTAAGGATCCTTTGTTTTCTCGAAATGACTTGGGCTCCAGCAACTTTGCCACTCGAGTTTGCATCCAATCGTACACTGCCACCTTCAGTAGCTGCACTCCAGTTTGGTGGTGTAACGACAAGCACCATTCTCCCAATCATGCTATGCATCAGCATTCCTGCATCTCCGAAGCATTATTCAAGCATTCTGTCTCATGCTTCAAATGAGAAGCAGCTGGTTAAATACTGTTGAACGGAAGTTATGGAACGGGACAGAGTTGTACATGAGTCCCAGCATTGATAATCCAACCTTATCCAGGTACACTACAGGAATTAAATAGACACACTAGTAATACGTATTGTTGATTATATTATGGCATTATTCAAGCACCTATATGCACGAAATTAACCCATCGTTCAGTAGGAATCCCTTCCCGTCCTTTCAACTCTATTGCTGCTTCTCGAAGTCCTCCAGCCGCCCTCCTATACATCAACTCGCCTTCCTCACAGTCATTCATGTATTCATAAACCACGCGCGCGAACAGAGGTCCATCCTCATCGTATAGTTCCCACATCGTCCCGATCACGCTTCGGAATCCGCTGAACTGCATCGCTGCTGATAGATGAAGTGCCTCGTCGTGCACACCTGAGTGAGATAGCTCTGCAGTATGGCATGCAGAGAGAAATGCAAATTCGGCATTTGAGACATTAGCTCGGATAATATCGAGCAATGACAAACCACCGTCAGCGAGCTTGAACGACGAGTCAAAAGGTTTTGGGTCGAGATGACCATGGCAAGCAAAGTGAACCCATGTGACTTTTTGGAGTTTCTCCACCACTGCGGGACAAGACGCACTGCTATCGAGTAGCATCGTAGTTCCTGGTCTGGTGCCGCCCATGCAGATACGGATGTTGCGAATTTCCTGTCGAGTTGATCGTAGCGTAACAGTGTCGCCGACAACAAGCAATTTTGGTTCACTTGTGCTTGTATTACTTCGGGCATTAATCAATGCACTGAGTGACGGAGTGTACGACGAAATGTAATCGTCTAACAAGTATTTTGTAGTTCCATCCGAATCCTTGAATGGTCCTGCAGCATGGAACGGGAGTGTAGATAACACGGACGTAGGGCACCACCAAATGCGAGACCCTTTTGTGACCCCCATTTCTGTCAGTTTACTAATGACCTTGGAGACAACTCTATCCCATAACATCTTCATCGCTTCGCAAAGTTTCTTTTCATATTCTAGTGGATGCGATTTGAGCTGTCGTCGTGTATGAACGAGTTCATTGCACAATTGAATGCTGTCCTTATAGAACTCTTTGTCCAGTGAAATGCAAATTATGGATGAAACGTCACGAAAGAAGATAACGAGGGCATCGGACCGATATTTGCTATGGTTCACCATGATAATTGGTCCCTCCAATGTGACCTGCTGCAGTTCTTCAAATGGCAAGGCTTTAAGGAAGCTCTCGAATCCAGGCAAATGTCGAATCTCGTTTATAATACCCTCTTGCTCGTGCAGAAAGCGCTTCTTTAATCCCAGTAGTTCGTCAAATGATCTCTGTCCTGGTTTACCATCTAGTCTAACTAATTTGCCTCCATCCATGGATGAGATGGTCATTAACGCTTCGTGTGATGTTGCGAGGTTCTCCAGCCGGCGATTGACGTCCCTGAATCTGTCGGCGAGTTCTTCATTCGCTTCTGCAAGCTGATCTAAGGGAGTCCTGAGGCCGCGCAACTGTGACCAAAGCAAGCCCCTCCCTTGCTCAAGTATCTCTACAGCTCGTTCCAATTCATTTTTCTCTATCGCGTAGGACGCCGCGTCAGAAGTCAACATTCTGTAAGAACTTTTCCCTGAGAGAAGGTCATGTTGTTCGCGGAGGGTTGGACGTATGGTGAGAGCATGTTGAAGTATCGATATGGACGTTCGGTAAGCTGAAAAGGTTGTGTGATGCTTGTGCAATCGTGCAAGTGTTGCCCATCGTCGTGCAGCAAGAATGCGGTCCGACGACTTTGAGAATTCGTGAGTAGCAGCAAGTTCTAGTAATTGCATACATTCCTCGAACTCCCCTAAGTGACATTGCTTCTCAACCCGATAATATAAGGCATTCGCAAGGTTCCGTAGTGTTAAGGAACGAAGAGGGTGGCCTTCGGGTCGAAAGTCGAGGGCGGCTCGGTGCAAGCCAATGGCTTCCTCGATATCCTTGGTCCCTCCTCGCCGCTTGTATCGGCTTCTCAGAGAGGCAGCAAGATTGTTGAGAGATATAGAGCGATCCGGATGGCCTTCGGGGCGAAGGTCGAGGACAGCTCGGTGCAGCTCAATGGCTTCCTCGATGTCCCTCGTCCCTCCTTGCTGCCGGTATCGGGTTACCAGAGAGGTTGCAAGATTGCCAAGAGACCTAGAGCGATTAGGAAGGCCTTCGGATAGAAGCTCGAGGGCGGCTCGCTGCAAACCAATGGCTTCCTCGAGGTCCTTTATTCTTTCTTGCTGCACGTATCGGATACTCAGAGAGGTTGCAAGATCGCCGAGAGACATGAAACGATCAGGGTGACCTTCGGGCCGAAGGTCGAGGGCGACTCGATGTAACCAAATGGCTTCCTCGAGGTCGTTCAGCCTCCCTAGCTGGTCGTATCGTGTTCTCAGAGAGTTTGCAAGATTGCCGAGAGACCTAGAGCGATGAGGATGGCCTTCAAGTTGAAGCTTGAGGGCGGCTCGGTGCAACTCAATGGCTTCCTCGAGGTCCTTCGTCCTTCCCTGCTGCTCATATCGGTTTCTCAGAGACTGTGCAGTATTGCCGAGAGAGATAGAGCGATCAGGATGATCTGAGGGTAGAAGCTCGAGGGCAACTCGGTGCAACTCAATGGCTTCCTCGAGGTCCCTTGTCCTTCCTTGTTGCCAGTATCTGGTTGTCAGAGAGTTTGCAAGATTGCCAAGAGACCTAGAACGATGAGGATGGCCTTCCGGTTGAAGGGTGAGGGTGGCTCGCTCCAACTCAATAGCTTCCTCGAGATCCTTGGAAATTCCTTGCTGCTCGTATCGGGTTGTTAGAGAGATTGCGAGATTGGCAAGAGACCTAGGGCGATGAGGATGGCCTTCGGGTTGAAGGGCGAGGACGGCTCGCTCCAACTCAATGGCTTCTTCGAGGTCCTTCGTGCTTCCTTGCCACTCGTATCGGGCTGTCAGAGAGTTTGCAAGATTGCCGAGAGGTATAGAGCGATTAGGATGGCCTTCTGGTCGAAGCTCGAGGGCGGCTCTGTGCAACGCAATGGCTTCCTCGAGGTCCTCGGTCCTTCCTTGCTGCTGGTATCGGGTTCGTAGAGACGCCGCAAGATTATTGAGTGATATAGAGCGTTGAGGATGGCCTTCGGGTCGAAGGTCGAGGGCGGCTCGCTGCAAACCAATGGCCTCTTCGAGGTCCTTTGCCCTTCCTTGCTGCTCGTATCGGGCCCACAGAGAGCTTGCAAGATTCCCGAGAGACAAAGAGCGGTTAGGATGGCCTTCGGGTCGAAGGTCGAGTGCGGCTCGGTTCAACTCAATGGCTTCCTCGAGGTCCTCGGACCTTCCTTTCTGCTCACATCGGATTCTCAGAGTGTTTGCCAGATTGATGAGAGACTCATAACGATCAGGATGGTCTTCGGGTCGAAGCTCGAGGGCAGCTCGATTCAACTCAATGGCTTCTTCTAGATCTTCCAATTGGCCCCATCGCTCGTATCGCGTCGAAAGAGAAAGTGCAAGGTTATACAACAGTATCGAACGATCGGGTTTAGGACAAAGCTCGAGAGCAGTACGATAGTGAGCAATACACTTTTCGAGTTCTCCCCCTTCTCCTGATTGCTCGAAGCCTTCCCGGTAACGAAAGGCGAGCTCTTCGTGTGTCTCAGAGCAATCAAAACGATCTTGAATTTCAGTAGCGCTTTTTTCCATCTTTTGATATTCTTTAGTCCTGCTGAAGTTTCGGTCAAAATCGGCCCTTGTGGCAAGAAGACGGCAGTATGTTAAACGGAGATGCGTTACCTGGTAGTCTTTGTATTGACCTGTCTTCACGCAGATGGGAAGTGGACAGCGTACGATGAAGAGGACGTTGTGGTTAAGGGTGAGAGTCGGGTGCCTGTTTGCTGCACTGGCCATCTTGAGAACACGATGACAACGTGATAGCGTTCAAGAAAAATAGGTTCGATTACGTTTTGCACTTGTCGGATGTGCATCAACAGCGTTCTGTTGTAGTATTGTGCTGGCTATTACTTCGTGCCTAAAATTGTCGGTATTAAGTCATTGTCATTGTATACGTCCGGTACAGATATCGAATAGGCATAGCAATTGTGCTGAACTGTATTTTATGGTATGGCAAATTAGCACAAAGACAACCAAATCTGTTGATCACATGATGCGTAGACAAAGATGGTAACGATCGACATTCCCACTAAGGCAGTTTTCACTTCTGAGCACAGGTCGATTGACAACTGCGTCCATGTCTCTTCGACTTGGTTTTCAGCGTGTTGCCCATTTCCGTGCTGGGCTGGTATGTTGATTGATTTCTCACTAATCTAATTAACCTATACACAAACTTGTTGCTAGTCTCGATACTAGTCGAGGAGTGCGTAAGATGGTCGACGTTCTTGCATACTGTTAATCTACAAAATGGATATTCTCAATTGGTACAAAGGACATACACAACTGAGCAGGCCTTGTCTACAGACGAACTTTTCAGGAGGCAGCAGGATTTATACACGTGTCATTGTTTCACCCAACGTTCAATTATTTTATTTTGTAACAAAAATAAAATAATACCTCTGGATCCTCTCCGTATCTGGAAAGTCTCATGCGTCTGTCCCTCTCTACCACGACTCCTGCACTGCAAAAGGTTTCCAAGGCACACCGATTATCGATACAGGCAAGTTCACCCCCGGAAAGACTTGTCTCGGCCGAAGATGCCCAACGAATCCAAGTGAGGAGGCGCTGCCGTGTTCTTTTACGCCGCAACAAATGCACGTCAGTGTGCTACCTGAGGAAACGAGTCTTGTATTTTATAAGGCGAGGAATACGTTGAACCAGGATGTCATTGGGATTGCTACGTATAACGCTACGCCTGACCAAAGAAGTTCATTTTTCAACTTTCACAAGGCCCAGTTCAGATAGGAATGTTGCCCAAAACAAATATTTGAGCTAGCAGCCCAACTACCTAATAACCTTGGAAGTTGTAGCTTGGGTTCGCCTGGTATTTCAGATCTGATCCTATTTTGCTTCCGCTGTGCAAACTCACATGTTGATGATAGTCTTCCGTATCACGTTCAGATTGCACCTTACTTTGCCAAGGTCGAGTGTTTCTGCTTTGAGGAACAGAAGCTGTTGGCAGGTGAAGAAGTGGACATGCCCCTGCTATTCTTTATCGACCGAGATGTGCTGGATGTCCCAGCATGTAAGGACGTTGATGATATTATCCTCTCATACACGTTCTTCCGGTGAGCATGTCCTTCCTCATCATTCTGATATCTGATGTAGCGTCTGATGTAAACATGCATATACTTTGCCTTCTGAACTGTAATGCTCGACGGAATAAGAGGGGACAGCTTGAGCCGGATGCACCTGAGGACGTTGTTCAGGCGTCATTGGGTTTCGACAAGTATGAACATGCGGGGAAGTGGGATCGGGAATGTACTTGCATCCGTCGGTTTTGCATGCATACACCAAGCATTGTATTATTATTCCCATAATCGCGGTCATAATGAGATGATGAGCCAGAACATCTTGTAAGTGGGCCGCTCTCTCTCACTTTATACTTGTCTCACGCAATATACTAGCTTGACGTCAGCGAGAGCTCTGACGACGCGGAAAGCTCTGGATCCGATAATGGTGGATCTCCGGTCAAGGATCTGCCTCATGCGTCGTATGAGTATGAGGAGAAGCAGGCTAGGGACTATCAAATAGAACGGGACAGCGTGGCTATGAGTAAGTGTCGGTGCGAATAAATATTGTCACTATATGCTATAGACAATACATATATATATGCTTACTAGCACTACAAAATGTAGAGCATATTATAGCATCATTCAAGCGCCTATATGCACGAAATTAACCCATCGTTCCGTCGGAATCCCTTCCCGTCCTTTCAACTCTAATGCTGCTTTCCGAAGTCCTCCTGCCGCCCTCTTGTACATCAATTCACCTTCCTCACATTCATTCATGTATTCATATACCACACGAGCAAACAGAGGCCCATCCTCATCGTATAACTCCCACATTGTCCCAATTACACTTCGGAATCCACTGAACTGCATAGCGGCCGACAGATGAAGTGCTTCATCGTGTACTCCCGAATGAGAAAGCTCGGCAGTATGGCAGGCAGAGAGAAATGCGAACTCGGCATTTGGGACGTTAGCTTGAATAATATCGAGTAATGTCAAACCGCGGTCAGCGAGCTTGAACGACGAATCGAAAGGTTCTGGATTAAGGTGGCCATGACAAGCAAAGTGGATCCACGTCACCTTCCGGAGCATCTCCATCACTGTACGCCAAGATGCCCTGCGATTAAGAAGTTTTGTAATTCTTGTTTCGCAAATGCCCATGCATATTTGGATGTTACGAATTTCCTGTTTAGTTGATCGCAGCGTCACGGTATCCCCAACGACGAGCAATTTTGGTTCACTCGTGCCTGTATTAGACTGGGCATTAATGAGCGCATTGAGGGTCGGAGTATACGACGAAATATAATCGTCTAGTAAGTATCTTGTAGTTCCGTCTGAATCCTTGAACGGTCCTGCAGCATGGAACGGGAGTCCAGATAACACCGATGTAGGACACCACCAGATGCGAGATCCTTTCGCGACCCCGTTTTCCCTTAGTTTGCCAACGACTTTGGAGACAACTCTATCCCATAGCATCTTCATCGCTTCGCAAAGTTTCTTTTCATATTCCAGCGGATGCGACTTGAGCCGTTGGCGCGTATCCATGAGTTCGTTACATAACTTTATACTGTCCTCATAGAACTCTGAGTCCAACGAGGCGCAGACTACAGAATAAACGTCACGAAAGAAGATAATGAGGGCATCGGACCGATATTCGCTATGGTTCACCATGATGATCGGTCCTTCCAATGCTGCCCGCCGCAGTTCTTTGAACGGTGTAGTTTTAAGGAAGCTCTCGAATCCAGGTACTTGTCGAATCTCATTGATAATTCCCTCTTGCTCACGCGAGAGTTGCTTCTTTAATTTCAACTCCTCATCAAACGATTTCTGACCTGGTTTGTTGTCCAGCCTAAGTAATTCGCCACCATCCATTCTTGAGCCAGACATTAACGCCTCCTGCGATGTTACGAGGTTCTCCAGTCGGCGATTGACGTCCCTGAATCTGACAGCTAGTTCTTTGTTCGTTTCTGCAAGCTGATCCAAAGGGGTTCTAAGACCGCGCATCTGTGACCAAAGTAAGCCCCTCCCTTGTTCAAGTATCTCTACAGCTCGTTCCAATTCATTTTTCTCTATCTCGTAGGATGCCGCGTCAGAAGCCAGCACTTTGTAAGAACTTTTTCCTGAGAGAAGGTCGTGTTGTTCGCGGAGGGTTGGATGTATGGTGAGAGCACGTTGAAGTATTGATATGGACGTTCGGTAAGCTCGAGAGGCGGAATCGTGCTTATGCAATCGTGCAAGTCTTGCCCATCGTTGTACAGCATAAAGACGGTATGACAGCCCTGAGAATTCATGAGTAGCAGCAAGTTGCAGTAACTGTATACATTCCTCGAATTCCTCTGTGTCCCATTGATTCTCAACCCGAGCATACAAGGAAATTGCAAGGTTCTGTAATGTCAAGGAACGAAGAGGATGGCCTTCGGGTCGAAGGTCGAGGGCAGCTCGTTGCAACTCAATGGCTTCTTCGAGGTCCTTCGTCGCTCCTTGCTGCTCATATCGAGATTTCAGTGAGAGTGCAAGGTTGTCGAGAGACATGGAGTGATGAGAATGGCCTTCGGGTCGAAGCTCGAGGGCGGCCCGATTCAACTCAATGGCTTCTTCGAGGTCCTTCGTCGATCCTTGCAGCTTGTATCGGGTCGTCAGATAGGTTGCAAGATTGCCGAGAGAGCTAAAGCGATGGGTATGGCCTTCGGGTCGAAGGTCGAGGGCGGCTCGCTCCAAACCAATGGCTTCTTCGAGGTCCTTGGTCCCTCCTTGCTGCTCGTATCGGGCCCATAGAGAGGTAGCAAGATTGCCGAGAGAGAAAGAGCGATCAGGATGGCCTTCGGGTTGAAGGTCGAGGGCGGCTCGATGTAACTCAATGGCTTCCTCGAGGTCCTTCGTCCCTCCTTGCTGCTCATATCGGAGTTTCAGAGTGCTCGCAAGATTGTCGAGAGATGCAGAGCGGCCGGGATGGCCCTTGGGTCGAAGGTCGAGGGTGGCTCGGTACAACTCAATGGCTTCCTCGAGGTCCTTGGTTCTTCCTTGCCGTTCGTATTGGACTGTCAGAGAGTTTGCAAGATTGAAGAGAGGTATAGAGCGATTAGGATGGCCTTCGGGTCGAAGCTCGAGAGCGGCTCGGTGCAACTCAATGGCTTCCTCGAGGTCCTCAGCTCTTCCTTCCTGCTGATATCGGGTTCGTAGAAAGGCTGCGAGATTGTTGAGCAACATAGTCCGATGAGGATGGTATTCAGGTCGAAGCTTGAGGGCGGCTCGCCCCAACTCAATAGCTTCCTCGAGATCCTTCGTCCTTCCTTGCCGCTCGTACCGTCTTCCTAGAGAGAGTGCAAGATTGCTGAGAGAGACATGGCGATCAAGATAGCCTTCAGGTCGAAGCTCAAGGGCGGCTCGGTCCAACTCAATGGCTTCCTCGAGGTCCTTGATCCTTCCTTGCCGCTCGTATCGGAATCTCAGAGAGTTTGCAAGACTATTGAGAGGAATAAAGCGATCAGAATGGCCTTCGGATAGAGAGTCGAGGGCGGCTCGGAGCAAGTCAATGGCTTCCTCGAGGTCCTTGATCCTTCCTTCCTGCCCATATCGGATTGCAAGAGAGATGGCAAGTTTGTCTAGAGACTTAAATCGATCAGGATGGCCTTCGGGTCGAAGCTGGAGGACGATTCGGTTCAACTCGATGGCTTCTTCTAGATCTTCCAATTGGCCCCATCGCTCGTATCGCACTCGAAGAGAAAGCGCGAGGCTATGCAACGATTCCGATCGATTGGGATGCCCTTCGGGACGAAATTCGAGAGCGGCACGATAGTGAGTAATAGACTTTTCGAGTTCTTCCCGTTCTCCCGATTGCTCGAAGCTTTGCCAGTAACGAAAGGCGAGTTCAGCATGTGTCTTAGAGCGGTCAAAGCAATCTTGAATTGCAGTAACGCTTGTCTCCATTTTTCAATATTCTCTCGTTCTGCTCAATTTTCGATCAAAATGCAGTTCTTAAGGCAAGAAGGGGGCGGCATGCTAAACGGAAATGTGTCACCTGCTGGGAGTAAGTATTTGTATTGGCCTGCCTTCACGCGGCTGGATATCGACAGTGCACGCTAGGGGGGATGTTGTGGTTAAGGGTAAGAGATGGGCGCTTGTTCTCTGCACTGACCATGCTGAGAACACGATGGCGATGGCGATGTGATAGCGTTCAAGACAAAAATAGAGTCGATGACGTTTTGCAATTGCTGGGTATGCAACAACACCGTCCCGTTGTGGTACTTGATGCTCCCTCGAACCCGGAATTGATGGTTCTAATTTATTGTCATTGTATACGTTGCCCGGAATGGATGTGGAATTAGACATAGCAATAACTGAGCAGCATTTAAACTATTTTCTTGTCTGGATGGCAGATTAGCAAAGCCTGTGCCCTTTCAGTGTTCACTTTCTAAATCTGTTGATCGACGTGACGTGCAGACAAAGATGGAAACGATCGACATTCCTCCTGTGTAAGCGCAACTTTCAATCAAAGAAACGGCCGATTCATGTCTGCGTCCATGTCTTTTCGACTTGGTTTTCAGCGTGCAGCCTATTGTCGCGCTGGACTGGTGCGTCTGTTGGTTTTTTTCACTAGTCTATCTGACAAATACCCAAATTTGTCGTCAGGCTCGCAATTGGTCGAGAAGTGCACAGGATGGTCGACGTTGTTCGAATACCATTAATCTACGAAATGGACACACTCAAATGATGCGAAGGACATACGCAACTGAGCAAATGTCATCTGCAAATGAGATTTTCAGAAGGCGGCAGGATATGTACAAGCAGCGGAATAGGACGTTGATGATGTATTCTACGGCAGTCGTACGTGCCATTTGTTTCGTCTATCGCTCATAAAATAAATAAATAACTACAGATCCTCTTCGTAACCGGAATGTCCTACGCCGCTGTCCCCCTCTATCGCGCCTTCTGCGCAGCAACAGGCTTCGCAGGTACACCAATTGTCGGTACAGGCAAATTCGCACCAGACCGACTTGTACCAGCCGAAGACGCCCGACGAATTCGAGTGAGGTTTAATGCGGATAAGAGTGAGGCGCTCCCGTGGTCTTTTACGCCGCAACAAAAATACGTTAGTGTGTTACCTGGGGAGACGAGCCTTGCGTTTTACAAAGCGAGAAATACGTCGAACCAGGATCTCATTGGGATCGCGACGTATAATGTTACGCCTGACCGAGTAGGTTTAATTTTAAGATTTATGGAGCGGTTCAGATTAGATTGTTGCTTAAGGCAAATGCTTGAGCAACAACCTAATAGCCTGACCTTGGCGGTTGTAGCTTGGGTCGTCTTGTTCATCAGATTTGAACCTAACTTGCTTCCGCTGGGCGAACTCACATGCTGATGACGGTCTTCCGTTCTCTGTTTAGATCGCACCTTACTTCGCCAAGGTTGAGTGTTTCTGCTTTGAGGAACAGAAGCTGTTGGCGGGCGAGGAAGTAGACATGCCCCTGCTATTCTTTATCGACCGAGATGTGCTGGACGACCCGGCATGTAAGGGTGTTGATGATATTGTTCTCTCGTATACGTTCTTCCGGTGAGCAGGCCTTCTCTCATCATTCCGCCATTTGATGCTGTGTCTGACGTAAACATGCATACACTTTGCTTGCTTGCATATGTAGGGCTCGACGGAATGAGAGGGGACAACTTGAGCCAGACGCACCTGAGGATATTGTTCAGGCGTCATTAGGTTTTGATAAGTATGAGCATGCAAAGAAGGAATGAATTTGCATCCGTCGGTTTTGCATACGTATCACGCACATCAATCATTGTATTATTATTATTACCTTCATCGCTGTCATCATAATGATAGACTCTACTCTGCTCACTGAAATGAAGCATCATCATGTGAAGAGCACGCGTTGGCTGTGCGCAGTTAGGACGTTCATTACTCAGTCCATTTTGCAGCCCCTCCTTGTCGCTGCACTACTGCACTGCAAATACCCCTTTGCCTCGCTTCCGCCATACCCGCCGAACCAAAGCGCCCGCGCATCAAATTTAATAATATTTGTTAATCGATATTGATGATGAATTTATACTCGGGAACGACATCGGCTAGGTTGAGCTCAGACTCTACTTCATCCGCGTCGACAAGAGTCCCGCGTAGACGCCTTTCACGATCCAACCGCGACAACACTCAAGCCATGGTCGATGCATCCCCACAACCCGGCAGGCCACAGGCTCACTCTCGCTCGTCATTCCTGAGCAACTTTTCGTTCAACAAAAATAGGACGGGCTCGGCACCCGCGGGCGGACATTCATCGTTTTTGCATACCGTCCGGGAGTCTGTAGTTGGTACTGGTTCGGGGTCTGCGAGCGGCGGTAATCCGGACGAGTTTGGTGCGTCTAGGTTACAACAGCAACAGTCTCATTCGACTCTCCCTCCCCCACCGTCGTCCTCAGCCTCTGCGTCGACGATTACGCAGACTAGTGGTCAGTTTGGCAGCCCCATGTCGAGCAATACCTCTCCCAGTCAACGTCCTGGCTCGTCAGGGGGTCCACAACCCTCGCCTTCAATGGATTCGCAACAAATGCAACCACAACGTCAACTACATCCAGAGATCCGCTCGATCGTCAACCTCTCCCAGGCGCATGCACACAAGATCTACTTCTCTGGCCCGCTCGTCAAGCACGTCGAGCGCCACACTGATGGGAAGATTGTAGGGAAAGAGGAACCGTGGCGGGAGGTTTGGGCCCAGCTGGGTGGGACAACGTTGAGTGTGTGGGATATGAAGGAGATCGAGGAGGCCAGTCGACGGGGAACAGAGGTACCGCCTACGTATCTCAATATCACCGACGCGACCATCCATGTCCTTGGTGCTGTTACGATGCCCGGCACCGACGGCAACCCCGTCAAGTACATGAATGTCATCACGCTCACCACTGCTGGACTCAATCTCCTACTGTTCTCATGTCCGAATCCACAGGCCCTCGTCGCGTGGACGGCGGCACTTCGTCTCTCTGCTTACGAAAAATCACGTTTGGAGGAACTTTACACTGCTCATTTGTTACGCATGTCTCTTACTGAAAATGGCGTCTGTGAGTACCCCCTTCTTGTTACCCTGTTGCTTCTTTCTATTTTGCGAGTGTTGTACTAACGCTGCATTAGGGAAGGACCCGCGCTCAACACTACAGAATGGGCGTCTCGAAGGTTGGGTCAAGATACGCATCAACGGTCAAACCGATTGGAAACGTCTATGGATGGTTATACAAGCCATTCAGTTAGATACACATCCCGCCGACGCTTCTGTAACACGCAAGAACCGAATGTCTTCACTCTTCAGCCGTGGCGCGCACGAACACACCAACAGCCTCAACTCCGTCAACGAGGCAGGAGGTTTCGAGCAACGTGTTCCGCATATAACATTTTATGCCTCGCAAAAACCTCGCGACCGCAAGAAGAGCGTGTTGACGTTTACGAACGTGACGCAGGTGTTTGCCGTATACCCGGAGCGCCCCGAATTAATTAGCCGTAGTACACTTATCAAGATGGAAGGATTCATTGGGGAGGAGGAACTTGCGGGAGAATGGAGATCTCGGGAGGGTTGGCTGCTTATGATGCCCGAGGCGGAACCAGGCAAATTAGGTTCACTTGAGATGCTGCGATGGCTCATTGGTGAGTCTGATAAGATAATATATTGATCAAACTACTTTGTGTATGCTAACTATAAACCAGGTTTACATGATACATTTAGTCTGTATGGACGACCAGCAGGATATACTTGGAACCCACGCGATCCTGTATCTTTGATGTTTGCATATCCAGTCGGTCCGCATAAGGATGTAAGTGATCCATATTCGCTTCGCGCATTCTAGATGTTGACGAATGATACTGATGCTGATATTTGATAGAACCTCTTCCTTGATCGAGAACTTGCAGAAAGCGTCGACCCTCGCGAAGACAGAGGGTCCATTGTGCGACAGAGGTTTAAGCAGATTCTTGTCGAACGCATGTACGGACCTGAAGGCGCGTCGAGGATGTCGATGGTGTTCCCTGCACAGTCACCGACTGGAAATGGCAACGCTGTTCCCGCACCTTCGAGTGCGCCGCCTTCCCTTCCACCCATCCAGCCTGTTGCTGAACGTCGCTCGGAAGAGTCGCAGGAGTCGCAACAGGCACCACAGAACAGGGTTACAAATGGCGGAACGTTCCAGCTCCCGCCTTTGAACTTTGACAGCAATCCACCTGTGTCAAACGTCCCGCCAGCTCGTGAAACGACGTCTCTGTCACCCATCACCGAGCGAACGGACAGCCATTCTCAGTCTCGAGGAAGCACCCAGGACCACGTTCACTCTCCGCCTTCGGCTTCTGCTTCGATGCGAGTTGGAAATATGCAGTCCACGATTGAGGAAGAAACAATGCTTGGCAATCAACGCGTGGAGAGCCCGCCAGGGAACGCCCCGTCGTTTAATGACAGGCCAAGTGATCAACAGCAGCGTTCGGGCACGACGTCGCCTCGTGCGCCGTCGCAACTTCAGTCGCGGTTTAGTCCCGATCCAGGCGCTGCTTCAGGTCCGGGACAGGGTGCGGGTGCTGGTGGTGCGGGGACAGGCGGTGGGGCTATGAGCCCGACGAGCGGTATGCGCTCACCTCCGCTATCCCCGGATTCTTCGATATCAAGGTACAGCCAGCAGGAGGGTTCGACGTTCTCGAGCCATCAACATAATACAAATATCATGCACCCAGAAAACGTGCAGTTATCTCCATCGAACGTGCAGAACTCACCTCCCGAACGGGATACGAACGTTGCGATGGCGAGTATGGCCGCTGTACCACCTCGTATGATGCAGTTGCAGCAGCAACAGCAATTCCAGCAGCAACATCAGCAGCAAGCCGAGCAAGCTCCGTCGACGCCTGGGTCAGCTCGTTCGCAAGCGACGTTCATGAGTTCGCCGTTTTCTGTCCATGACAATGCTTCCCGCAATAAGGAGCAACCGCCTGTTCCGCCATCGAAGAGCCCGCCACCGCAACAGGGCGAGACGTGGGAGCCACAGTACAAGCACAAGGCAAACGAATCAGAATATGTTTTCGACGAACCTGGTGCACTTTATTACATGCAGCAGCATCGAGAGGCAGAGGGCCCGGGACAGCTGGCCCAACCTAGCAGAGATCAAAATCAAGACGAATCGGACGAGGACGAAGAATCCGTCGAGTCTGATGAGCACTCTGTGCTGACGAACCCGATGAGCGTAAAGTCCGGAGCCTCGCCCGCTCGCGTGGGTTCTAGAGCACAGCAACAAACAGCACGCGCGTCGAATGTGCCGGTTTCGCCTGTTCCTCGCCGGCAGACACCAGCCGGATTTGAAGTTGTCTCCGGTGCGGTGGGCACTGCTGCGCTGGCGAGTGCGAGGAGCGCACGATCTGGGTCATTTGATACGAGCTCTGCGAACAGTGGTCGCTTCGGTGCCGCTGAGACGGGCAGCGTATCGGGCGCTGCGGGCGGTATGATGAGCTCGAGCAGCGGAAGCGGTCCCAGTTCTGGTCCCGGCCCCGGCAATAATACTCCGGAAAATCCGAATGGGGGACCCCGGGGACTGGGGAGACGGCCCTCGGGTGCACGTGCACTGCCACGGGCTGCTGGTCGATTTGTGCCCAACGACTCGCCTTCTTCCATGCCGCTCGAGGTTGACGAGCAACCAGCCTCCTCCTCCTCTACTTCTGCCTCTACACGTCCACAGCAAGACACAAGTTATTCCAGCAATTACTCACAGATGCCTGCACACGATGACGAAACTGTCGATGCGCTCGCCGCACTCAGCTTCTTGGAGCAGCAGGACGCGTCTGGCGCGACTGAGTCCGGTACGCACGTGGCACAGCAAACGAGTCCGTCAGCAGACGTGTCGTCACCCGCCCCTCCAACTATTCTAGAGCCTGAAGACCGCGCACCGTCACCACAAGCGAATAAGCAACAGTATCGTTCTTCATTTGCACCGTCCAAGCAGGCCGCAGAGCGGAAGGCGCGCTCCCAGGCCCAGCAAGCTGCGCATGACGAGGCATTCCACAAACCTGGCAGACCGAATGGTAAGCAACGAGCTAAACAACGTGAAGGTGGATGGGAGAGTAGCGAAGATGAAGAGGAGGAAGAAGAGGAAGAAGAGGAGGACGAGGATGAGGTGAACACCGATGAAGAACCCGCCTCCAAGTCCCGTGGAGATTCCGGCACACCGTCTATTGCTGCGCCTGTCGGCCGTAACCCAATGGTACAGCAGCAAATGCGTGGACTATCTCCCTCGAACTCGACCTCTGACGATTTCAGAGGCTCGCAGGCAGACCAGCGGCCTGTTCGCACGCTGCCACAGATCCCACAGCGGGGACGTTCGCCTGCAGGTAAGTTACTTCTGAAACGCATTCTTTTTTCTTAGCTTGGCATTTTTTGACGGTTACGTGTGATAGGTTCCGACCGGAGGTACGATCAGTACGAAGGCTACCGGGAATCGAGTATGGGCCGGCCGCAATCTCAATATCCGCAATACCCGCCACAGTTCCAGCAACAGCAATACCAGCAACAACAACAACAACCGCAGCCTGGCGCCGCCCGACAAAACATATGGAGTTCTGTTCTCGATGCAAACAGGGATACGGGTGTGCCACTGCCAGGTAGTAATAATAACAGCAACCGCGATACTTTCGTGCAGATTGAGACACCTGCGGAGACGATGACGAAAGCTTTCACGCCTCAGGGCTTGTTGTCTGCTGGCATGCAAGACAAGCAGGATAGATCTGCTAAGCGTCAGGAGGAGCTTGCGCGCGAGTCAGGCGCATCGCTCATTAATGTGCCCAACAAACCTCCGCCGCCGCAAGTTGGATTGCTTGGAGCGATCACTGCGCATGAACGTGAACGGAAACGTGAAGGTGGTGTGGGTGCTACGTTGACTGAACGCGAGCGGGAGAAACGTCTGGCGGAGGAACGGCAGCGACGTTTGGACGATTTGCAGCGACAGCAGCTTGAACAGCAACAGCAACTTGCTGCGCAATTTGGTGGTGCCAGTGGCGGAGGAGGGATGGGAATGTTTGGTGGTGGTGGACTTTCACCGCAGATGACGGGTATGAACCCTATGATGAGTGGGTTTGGAGGATATCCGCAGATGATGGGTCCGCAGTCGATGTATTTCCCGCAGATGTTCAACCCGATGATGGCGAACCCGCAACATATGTTTGCTGCTCAGCAAGCTGCGCAGGCGTACCAACAGGCCATGATAGCGATGTCGACTGCAGGGTCTCAAGTCGGTGGTCCTGGAGATAACGGCAACAATCAGAATAATAATAATATGGGAGGTGGACGGACGAGTCCGAATACTATGGCTATGGGTATGGGAGCGATGAGCGGTGCTGGGTCGCCTAATCCTATGGGAGGGATGGGCGGATACGATCCGAGGATGTCGATGATGAGTATGGGAGGGATGATGCCTATGATGCCTGGTATGGGCGGGATGCCAGGTATGGGGGGACCTATGGGGATGCAGATGACGGGTGGAAGTAATATGGCTGGGATGGATCCGAGGTTCTCGATGGGCCCCGGTGCATTTGAGGGAATGGGAATGACGGGTTCTTTCGGAGGACAGGGAGGGGGTTTGAGTGCGGGGCATACACCGCCCGGAGGAGCGAGTGGACAACAGAGTCAGAGGGTGTCATCGTATAATGGGTCACCTGCGGGTTCGCCTGCTCCTATACCAGGTCCGGCGAATAGGCAAGCGAGTGGAGGCGGAGAGAGGCCTACTTCGAGTGGTGAACGATGACCGGTGAAGCTAGTAAAGTCAAGGCAAGGACTCGAGAAGGACAAAAAAAAACTTGGGTTTTTGACTTCCGATATGTTCGGAATGGATTGATTAATGGACGGACGGACGGATAGACGGTCACGGTATAGTTTCAGTATCTTGCTGTCGTTGTCGAATTTGTTTGTTCCTTAGCTATATGGACACTCCCACTCTTCACTCTATCTCCATTTACATTCACCTCCCCATGTCTTCCTATACTTTTTCTTATTTTTCTTTACATCTTCAGGTTTTTAATTCTACTATATATGATTCATGAAGGACTCTTCTTTAAGTCTTGTGTGTCTTGTTGCATTTCATATATCAGTTTGTTCAGTGTTCTTCAACGTTTTGAAAATATCATATTGTCATATGCACATGTTTGCCAGCCAGCTAATCATCTATCAGTATCAGTATCACTGTTGTTGTCCCTTGTTGTGTCTTTGATATTATTTGCTTTTCTTGATAATTAGTTCTCCATCTTTCTCTTTTGTTTTATTTGATTCTGTTGGCTCAAATGCTGTGTATACCTTCATCTCAATTTCATTTAGGAATGTTAATATTTTTTCCCTCTTTTATTATGTTTCCTTCTTTCACTCAAAGGTACTTATAGGGAAGGGGGTGTTTAGAGGAACAGTGTCTGTTTAATGTGTGCTTCTTGACTAAAATGGAGACTGTCAACAAATTAGTTTATCAGTTAGGTAGACAAGTGAAAAAGCTACTAGTAACCAATACACTAGTCTAGTGTAATAATGGGCTGCATACTAGAAGCCAAGTCAAAAGTTATAGTCACAGTTGTGAATTGACCTGTGCTCGAAAGTAAGAATTGCCTTTGTCGGTGTCGGAATGTCGGTCTGACAGTCACTTCCATCTTTGTCTGCACGTCGTACTAATTTGCCATCATGAAATACAGTTTAGCAATTGCTATTCCTAACGCCATATTTGTTACCAGACAACGTATACAATGATGATGACTTCATACCAACAAAGTTAGGCACAAAGGAGGGGCAAGTATTACAACGGAACGCTGTTGATACACATTCAAATCGGTATCGAACCTATAACGCTATCACATGATTCGCCATCATGTTCACATCGCCAGTGCAGCGAACAAGCGCCCATCTCTTACCCTTAACCACAACGTCCTCCCCATCGTGCGCTGTCGACTCCCCGGCTGTTTGAAGATAGGTCAACGAAAATACTCTCAGGTAATGTACCTCTGTTTAACATACAGCCTTTTGCCACATCCACAAGAACTGCATTTTGACCAGAGTTCAGCAGAACCAGAGATTATTGAAAGATGGAAACAAGTGCCGCTGCCATTCAAGATTGCTCTGATTGCTCTGGGACACATGCTGAAATCGCTTTTCGTTACTGGGAAGTCTTCAAGCAGTCGGGAGAACGGGAAGAACTCGAAAAGTCTATTACTCACTATCGTGCCGCTCTCGAACTTTGTCCCGAAGAACATCCCGATCATTCGGACTCATTGTTTGGCCTTGCATTTTCTCTTTGGATACGATACCAGCGATGGGGCCAATTGGAAGATCTAGAAGAAGCCATCGAGTTGAACCGAGTTACCCTGGAGCTTCGACCTACAGGTCATCCTGATCGCCCTAGCTCTCTCGGCAATCTTGCAAGCTCTCTGACAACCCGATACGACCAGCAGGGAGCAACGAAGGACCTCGAAGAAGCCATTGTGTTGCACCGAGCCGCCCTCGAGCTTCGACCCGAAGGCCACCCTGATCGCTCTATGTCTCTCGGCAATCTTGCACTCTCTCTAAAAACCCGATACGAACAGCAAGGAGTGACAAAGGACCTTGAGGAAGCCATAGAGTTGCATCGAGCGGCCCTCGAGCTTCGACCCGAAGGCCATCCTGATCGCTCTATGTCTCTCACCAATCTTGCAAGCTCTCTGAGAACCCAATACGAGCAGCGAGGAAGGACGAAGGATCTCGAAGAAGCCATTGAGTTGGACAGAGTTGCCCTCGAGCTTCGACCCGAAGGCCATCCTGATCGCTCCATCTCTCTCGGCAATCTCGCAAACTCTCTGCAAACCCGATATGAACAGCAAGGAGCAATGGAGGACCTTGAGGAAGCCATTGAGTTACAGCGAGCCGCCCTCGAGCTTCGATCTGAAGGCCATCCTCATCGCTCTAACTCTCTTGGCAATCTTGCAGCCTCTCTGACAACCCGATACAAGCAGCAAGGAAGGACGAAGGACCTTGAGGAAGCCATTAAGTTGGAGCAAGCTGCTCTCGAGCTTCGACCCGAAGGCCACCCTGATCGCTCTATATCTCTTGGCAATCTTGCAACCTATCTGAAAACCCGATACAAGCGGCAAGGAAGGATGAAGGACCTTGAAGAAGCCATCGAGTTGCACCGAGCTGCCCTCAACCTTCGACCCGAAGGCCATCCTCGTCGCTCCTCTACACTTCGGGGCCTTGCAGATTCCCTATATGCTCAGATTGAGAATCAATGGAATACAGAGGAGTTTGAGGAGTGTATACAATTACTGCACCTTGCTGCTACACATGAATTCTCAGGACTGTTGGATCGCCTCCCTACCACACGACGGTGGGCAACACTTGCACGATTGCACAAGCACCACACAGCCTTCTCAGCTTACCAAACAGTTATATTCATACTTCAACACGCTCTCACCATACGTCCAACCCTCCGCGAACAACACGACTTTCTTACTGGTGAGAATGTCCACGGAAGGCTGATTTCGGAGGCGGCGTCCTACGCAATAGAGAAGAATAAATTGGAACAAGAAGTAGAGATACTTGAGCAAGGAAGGGGCTTACTTTGGTCTCAGCTGCGTGGTCTCCGGACTCCCTTGGACCGTCTCGCGCAAACGAACGAAGAACTGGCCGACAGATTCAAGGACGTCAATCGCAGACTGGAGCACCTCGCATTATCGCATGAAGCGTCAATCCCCCGTTCGGATATCGACGGACGCGTATCATTCGAGCTAGACAATAGGCCAGGACCGAAATCATATGATCAGCTATTGAGATTAAAGAAGGAACTTTCACTTGAGCAAGAAGGAATTATTAACGAGATTCGACAAGTACCTGGATTCGAGAGCTTTCTCAATGCTATGCCCTTCAGAGACCTGCAGCAGGTAGCGTCGGAGGGACCGATCATCATGGTGAACCATAACGAATATCGTTCCGATGTCCTCATTGTCTTCTTTCGTGAAGTCTATTCCGTAGTCTGCGTTCCATTGGACGAAGAGTTCTATAAGGATAGCACTCAGCTGTGCAACGAACTCGTGGATACGCGTCAACGGCTCAAATCGCATCCTCTAGAATACGAAAAGAAACTTTGCGAAGCAATGAAGATGCTATGGGATAGAGTTGTCTCCAAAGTTGTTGGAAAACTGACGGAACTTGGGATTGCAAAAGGGTCTCGCATCTGGTGGTGTCCCACGTCGATGTTATCCGCACTCCCGTTCCATGCTGCAGGGCCATTCAAGGATTCAGATGGAACTGCAAAATACTTGTTAGACAATTATATTTCATCGTATACTCCGACACTCGGCGCATTGCTTAGTGCGCGATCTGATACAGGCACGAGTGAGCCAAAATTGCTTGTCGTTGGGGACACCATGACGCTGCGGTCAACTCGACAGGAAATTCGTAATATTCGTAACTGCATGGGTGGTGACAGGCCAGGAACTACGGTGCTATGCGATCGCAGAGCGTCTCGTCGTACAGTGATGAAGATGCTCCAGAAAGTCACATGGGTTCACTTTGCTTGCCATGGTCACCTCGACCCAAAACCTTTTGACTCGTCGTTCAAGCTCGCCGACGGTGGTTTGTCACTGCTCGATATCATCCAATCTAACGTCCCAAATGCCGAGTTCGCATTTCTGTCTGCCTGCCATACTGCCGAGCTGTCTCATTCGGGTGTGCACGACGAAGCACTCCATCTGTCTGCAGCTATGCAGTTCAGCGGATTCCGAAGCGTTATTGGGACAATGTGGGAACTATACGATGAGGATGGGCCTCTATTTGCCCGCGTTGTTTATGAATACATGAACGACTGTGAGGAAGGTGAATTCAAGTATAAGAGGGCGGCTGGCGGACTTCGGAAAGCAGCAATAGAGTTGAGAGGACGGGAAGGGATTCCGACTGAACGATGGGTTAATTTCGTGCATATAGGTGCTTGATCAATGTTGTTACATGCTCTACAATATGTATTACTGGTGATTCTATATGTGTCTTATTTCTAGCAATACTTGACAAGGTTCTGAACATTCAGACCGACGCTCGCGTGGAGACACTCTATCCTCTTCCGTTCGACAGTGCCTGACCAGCTCCGTCTCACCCGAAGCATGAGACACGTCCGCGGCTGGGGCTCCACCATTATTCGGATCCAGAGCTTTCTGCGTCGCCAGAGCTCTTGCTTATGTCAAGCTAGTATATTATGTGAGGTATGCATAGAAGCGAGAGGGAGCTCACTGACAGGACGTCCTGGCTCATCGTCAACTTTGACCAGAGTAGACTCTATCATTATGACGGCGATGATAGAAATAATAATACAATGATTGATGTGCGTTTCCAAAACCAACAGATGCAAATTCACTCCCTATCCTTTTTGTTCTCTTCTGCTGCAGTTCTGCATGCTTGTACTTGTCAAATTACAGTGATGCTCGAACAACGTCCTCAGGTGCATCTGGATCAAGCTGTCCTCTCTCATCTCGTCGAGCCCTACATACACAAGCAGGCAAAGTATGAACATGTTTATGTCAGACACTGCATCACATGGTATAATGATGAAGAAACGCTCGCTCACCGGAAGAACGTACTGTAACATGATCCCTCTTTTCAAAGAATCCCTCTTTTCAATTTTTGCATTTGCACACTTTACACAATACCTTACACTACCAAAAAATTAAATGAGGTATATTTGTACTATAAAAAATATATTGTGTCTTTTTTTCTGTAAAAAAATTGATGAAAAATTTAAAAAATGGTAAATACTACTTTTTCCAATGGTAGCTTCAATTGTAATTAGCTCTATTAATTTTATTAGTAGATTTTTTGTTACAATTAGGCTTCTTATGTTTTCTATACATGCATAAGTGTTCTTATAATAATTTGTGAGTAGTATGCTGATTGTTGTGAATTAAAATTGTAGAAAGATTGGTTGAGAGTGACAAAAGCGTGACAATTGTGCTAAAGTATTATAGCAACATAGTGTGTTCACAAAGCTTACACGCGTCAAATCATTGTGACAACTTGTGACAAAAATTGAAAAGAGGGATCCTCTCCCTTCCTGCCTCAAAAAAAATCGTAAAAATTTTTTTGAAAAGAGGAGCATGTTTATAATATATAGATATACATATGTACAAATTTTACAGTTAAAAAAATGTGTGGTTGTGGCTGTAGAAAAAAATTGAAAAGAGGGATCATGTTACAGTA